AAATGTATAAACCATGCAAATTTTACAAATAGTATTTTCTTTTAACTATTTATGTATTTTAAGTATATATGTTTATACAGATGTTCAAAAATATCATTACCTAACGTTCAATGGAAATGGCAGCACTCCAAACACAACAGCACTGTTTACAAATACTATACGGGCAAGTTAAAATATTCACAAATCAAAGCGAAATATGAAATGATTTAAAGTATTATTTCTATTGTATAAATTGCATATTGAGGATACATAAATTACATCGAATTTTAGTTTTAACATTTATTACGATAGATTCAAGTTCCTGCTTGCGTTTATAATCAATTTCACATTTTAGCGAAACGAATTATTTTTTTAGGGAACCATTATCGGAGTACTATTAATAATGCGATTGCTTTTTTGTGTATGTGTGTATGTGAATGTTTATTACGATTCACGCATTAGTATAACGAAAGAAAGAAATTAGTATAAGGTAAGTTGCTAGTATGTGCGTTCACCTTGTCGTGGTGGGGGTCTCATTAGCGTCCGGTAATCCAGCCGGGCGCAAAGCCAGGAAACGTATTGGGAAACGCCCCACCTCGGTGGGCGGAGTATCATGCGAGATGCTCCTGGTACTTCTCTGATCGCAGAGTAGTCTATGGGAGTAACCCCATGGTCGTGTCATCTGCTTCGGCAGGCCTGCCGTCGAGCGCTGTGGTTGAGTTAGGGTAAGTCGCTAGTTAGCTATACAATAAATATAAAATGCTAGATAGACCAAAACTGTCTAAATTAAAAAAAAAAGAATAAGTTTACCAGTGAATAAGGAAGTTCTAGAGAAATCGAAAATGGTATTAAAAAGAATTGTTGTATGACCACAAAAAAATCGAAGTTGGGACATTCAACGTCTGTCAGTCAGCAAGTAAACAATAATGATGATGGAAACATACATTAAGGGCACGAATTGTAATCAAATATCAATTAATCAGTAGTTATCTATAGGTATAGGTCCGAATTAAGAAAGTAAGACGTCGATCACAATTGAACGTGACTATATTGGTGTCCGATAGGTTTATCAGATACTTCTGGTATTCATTATTCCACGGACGTTTCGAATTATAACGTATAATTAATTATATTACTACCTCAAGCCCACATGCAAGCACGCAACTTGCACTGATTGCGACATCACTTTCACTCGCTAGGCAATGCCAATGATATCTATTTATGACTTCTGAATTTTGATGTCACACTAATTTTATAATCTATACATATAATAAAATTCTAACCAAGCCGAATCTGTACATTAAATATTTTTTGGAAAATCTTATTAAAATAGACATTATTTTCGATACAGAGATAATCAATACACAGAGATACAGAGATAATCAATAGTTTTTAGAATTTTCGTCTGTCTGTCTGTTTCCGCATCACGGAAAAACCACTGGAGGGATATTGATGACACTTGGTATGATGATAGCTGGTTATCCGGGTCTACATATAGGATACTTTTTACCGTGGGAAAATATCTCATTTCTGAGAAAGAATACAAAAACTGCAATGTAAGACTATACTAATATGTAAAACGTAAGAATTTGGTTTTTGGTCATCTAAACGCGGGCGGAGCCGCGGACAATTCTAGTGTTAAATAAATTATATCTAGTAGGCATATCTATTTCGCTAAGATCAACAACGCCATCTCTTTGAAAGTAAACCATATAGTATATTAGACATAGGTCTCTATGCAGGAAAGATACGAGTATATTTTTACAACGACTAATCAAAATATCACGTGATTTCGATAAGTCTATATCAAAAACTATACTTTTTTAATAAAAAAATAGTTTTGTCTTTTAGTTATAATATGTATGTATCTTGTACTTTACAATAACATCCCTCTTTAACTATAATAGTCTGCTATTTCAAATAAGTATGATGATGTGTTATTTCCTTCTCATTTCTGCAATGCTTGTCATTTAATGTTTAAGTACGGAACGTGGGCGATCTTCCTCATTGAGGGTAAATGCATCTTTGTCTGTTATTGTCTGGACGATGTTGCACTCAGGCTAGTAATAAAATATAAAATAAGTTCTTAACGAGTAAATGCATTTAAACTGTATAGGGTTTCGTGCCCTAAAAGTCTAAACAAAACCCTATTACTACGCTGTCCGTCTGTCCACCAAATTAAAAATCATAACAAGGAACCGGTTAAAATTTCGGCAAAAGTGAAATTACAACAAATTTCCTAAAACAAAATTTCAAGGGTTGTCAAACTTGGTGAATTTATACTGCAAACCGAAATCTTAATATTTTGACAGCTTATTCCTAAAATTGTATAGGTTACCAATAAGAACATATTTTAAATAAAACCATCTTTGTCTGATTTTTTCGCGAATTTATTTAGATTTTTGGTTCCCGACGTTTCGAATGCTTTCACTTGCTTTTATGGTCACGGAAGAGACCATAAAAGCAAGTCAGTCTCTAAAACCCGAAACGATAGTTTTATTTAAAATGTCAAATATTCACATAAATCTAAGAAAGTATTAAGAAAATATTCATTATAATTTAATGCTAAAAAAAGTGAAAGGGAATGGCAAAGTTCATATGTATTCTGTATAGGAAACAATTTATTTCCGGCTTGCTTAAAACAAATGAAAATTAATAAAACATATTATCATTTGTTTCAAGGTTAACGCCATATATGGTATTAAAAATAATGTTTGAGGTGGGTGGGGAGGACGATAAAGTGTTGACCCGATAAATAGTTTTAAATGAAAACAAAGAAGGCGGGCAAAGCTGGTGCATGCTACTACAGACCTTTTTCGAACACGCGATGTGTGTATCCAAGTCGCACTTGACCAATATTAAAAAAGTTGAGGTTTCTTTTAATTTGATCTCAATATCAAAATGGTAAAAAATATTGTATCACCTTTTTCGAAATGTCAGGAAGATTGTTACTAAACGCGGTGTAAGTACAACTACACAAACACAGTTAAATATTCTTTTCTTAGCATTATAATATGTCGAGTACTTTTAATTAATATTTTTATTAATTGATGAATAAATAGATTTGAGTAGCGAATAATATTTTTCTATATTACATATTTTTTTTATTTTATGTATAATATTTTCTTATACCTTACCTTTAATAGGCTCAGTGCTAAATAGATATCGATTAAAATATACATATAATTGATATGAAGAGCAAAAAATTCCCCTGCTAGACGCACATTACTAAAAGTTTTAAAGTAAAGTAGGTATTATATATATGCCAACTTATTTTGTTCTTATTATTATTATTATACAGTAATAAAAGTTACTTAAGTTTAAAAACTAATATTCTTTGATGTCCATAATTTTATTATAATCTAGCGATTCGCTATTGCTTTGCCCTTTTTTATTTGTGAACCGAAGGAAATAAAACACGTACTAAATTTTAAGTGATACATTAGTGAAAACCGCACCCAAATCGGTTAAGCCGTTCGTGAGAGTAGCGCGCACAAACGCACAGACAAACAGACAAAAACTCTAAAAATCAATGTTTTGGGTTATATTTTGACCCCCAATAATAGTTTTTCTCAAATATCTTCCATGTACAGACAGTGATCAATTACACCATTGTTACAGATAGCTAAGCTAATTCATTCTAATTCTAAAATCATATACCTTTTAGTTGCGCTTAAATCTTGAGCTTTGAATGAATATGCGGAAGCTCCAACTACCTGCGTGCGGTCAATACTCAATAGTCAATATACAAGTATGCGTTTCTACGACAAAACTCATTCCTCTTTTTATAATAAGGTGATGGTTGAAATAACTTTAACCTGACATTTTAAATTATTATAGTTTAAAATTACCTACAATATTATTATAAAATTTCATTTACAATTTTAGACAATAGACATCCTTGATATTCACGCATGAAAAAATATAATAACCCTGTAAATAAATATCTATCTCATTTGCACTAATTAAATTTAATAAAAGTTGTTAGCCGGAATCACTTTATACTATCATCTACTTATATCAGGAAGTTAATTGTTTTAAAAAGTTAATTGCAATACGGAACTAAGAATCTAAACTCGACTTGACTTCAACCATTCATATAAACCAAACAATGTACAATTTTATCTAACTTCCAAGTTTCAACCTCAAAAGAAAAACACTAGAAATATTAAATATATCATAACAACTAAACATTAATCGTGAAATCACTTATAAACATATTTAGGTATAAACATTTCTATACATTATAAGCTATAATAACTCATTATAGTAAATCTGGCAGCCAATTGGCGGACAGTCAAACAATCGAGTAAAGAGTGCGCAATTCCCCGGTTCAATGACAAAGGCAAACAATGCATGACGGATTCAAACGGCTATTGCGGCTTATTATTATCAATGGAGAAATCCACGGTGTGGGCGACAGCTTCGAAACGAGCTAACAGCAAAATCACAATGAAACAACTACATATTTGAATCAGAATGCGTCGCATACGCAGCGGCAACGTATAGCGACTTAAGTAAACAATGTTCTGAAAGTGGAGCCTTCTAGGGTCTGTGATAGCTGATAGTGTATCTTCCATGTACATATATATATATATATACATCTGTATCTGTAAATGGCTTAATATAGGCACATTTGGACTGAAAAAAGATTTACAGAAACAATTGTTTTATTTGTACGTTCATGATTGATTTTTTGATTATGATTATTAATATTATTAATATAAAGAATATTATTACAAATAAATATCTGGTAACCATTATTTGATAGTTTTTAAAATTCTGTAAATAAACATAGATTTCAATGCATTATAAATGTTAATTTTTTTTATTAAAAACAGATTGTATTTATTCCATCAACCTAGAACACAATAGATCCGCTCTTAAATAAATTAATTGATTGCATCAATTGTGACCATTTCGACATAGACATTTGCATTCACAAAACTTGATCAAATTAGAAAATTAGTAAAGAATTGCATAAAGTATTTATTTTTACTTTAAATTAGGCTGCTATTTACCTGTCTCTGAGTTTTATCCGGAAGTATAATAGAGAGCTCAAAAGATCTGTTCTTTTTATCACGACTGCCTGATCGCATCAGTTTTGTTGATGTGCGGGTAATGCTCTGCGCCTTCTCAGGTAGTTTTAGCGCCACTATAGACATGCTACGGGATAGTCGCCTTCCCAACTTTCGCGTGCGCAGCGACATCGAACCACTCAGCCCTCGTTTACGAGGCTCCTGCGCGGATGGATTATCCTCCACATGCACTCCTTCCTCACTGGCACCAGCCATTGCCCTATCTTTCAACACAAATATTCCACAACGTCAACAATCACATCTCCGTCAAAACCGAGTCACAAAACTGGCACCAAAACACCGAAATGTCCTCCTTTAGCACTGAGTCATCAACAGATCCGTTTTGTGAAACTGAACTTTAATGGTTAATCCGCATCGTAACTGCACACCGATATTCGAGAGGGTCGCGCGGTTCGAACGGGTCCAGTGCAGATCATATGGTCACGAAGCCGGTTTGGAGATTGCGCACCGAACTATCTATGATTTATAACAAATAAAAAATATCAGTGCGATTAGTTTGATAACCTCGATACTGCAAACGTAAATTCTTATAGCGTATTATGTATCGCGAGTATTGCTTTAAAATAGGGCGCGTTATCGTAGAGCGCGGGACATGAGAAGCGTAGCGACGTGCGCGCGGGCCTTCGCGATGCAAGCGACTAGAGGTAGAGTGGCGACCAGCGCTCGCCGCCCCCGCCGCCTGACAGCGCCAGAACCCAACAGCCAAGCTTAAATCCAATTACTTATCGAATTATATTGTATCACTAAACACTATGACACTCAATGACACAAATGATCTTTTGTATTTCAGAACAAAACATTGAGCAGCGTTCCCACGAGATTTTTGACTCTCCAAATCAGGACATTCACAGTTTATTTAACGGAGTATTTTGTATATATTTATACTTTAAGCATTTAGTTAACCTTCTATTATTATTTAACTTAAGTATATAAGCTTTATATTTTTATCCTACAAAGATTCAAACTAAGGATTAGTTCTAGGTGTAGTTACAGATCTTTCAATTTCAAGGTGAGCATGTTAATAAATATATAATGTAATAAGTCGTTATTGTATGCTTGCTATAACTACATAGTATATCTGTATATAAAAATGATAGGTAAAGTATGTTCAATTAAAATCCAGAAAGAAAAAATTACCAAAGTAAATTTTTGATGAAAACTCTTCGTTAAAATTAACCAAGGTGCATCGCATCGATAAAAAACTGAATAAAAAAACTACTTAGTTTTCGTTAATAAATTTAGAACCGGAAAATTACAACGAATTCAATTCAACAAAAAATATTTATGGTGTTTAAAAATGATTAAAACAAAAAGGTTTTATATAATAGTAATTATGTCAGTCACATAGAAATCCTAAAGTTAAGTCATGTATTTACAATAGTATTATTTACATACAGTCATTTTAAATGTCATTTAAAAATATTTACGTTTTTCTGCACTAATTAACGATATAGGTATTTATTACAAATGGTTGAAAAAGAAATGTTGTAAGTAGTAAATTAAAATTATAAACGTAATATCTACATCTAATTTAATTATTATCTATATATATCTTTAAATACATACATATTATAAATATAAGCACCCATGACTGGAGTACAAACATTTGTGCTCATCACACAACTGAATGCCTCCAGCAGTACTCGAACCCGCGACCGCTGGCACAGCAAGTAGGGTCACTACAAACAGGCAAATGTGTTGTCAAATATATTAACTTATGTTCCATTCTCTCAAAATTGCACAATAGTGTATTTGACTTCTACACGCATCCTCTGCCTCCCAGTTAAAGTCCTAATAAGATCGATAAAAGCCATTCTTCTTCTTTAATCTATATCTCTATATTTATTTTTCTTGAAAAATTATTTAAAAAAAACTTTTTCTTGAAAAACGTCACTCTCGCTAGAATGCTTTCTCTACAAGAAAACCAACCATTTTAGCCTTTCCGAAATTCAGCGGATACGAACCGAATACGAATAATTGAACAGGATTTTAGTACTATAAATAACTACATCACCTCAATATGGAGTACGTACTTGAAAATAAACAAAATTTTTAATTAATGCATAATTAGGTAATAGGTTTTTTGAAGTTGTTACTTTAGCACTTATAAACTAGACGATAATTCTAAATTATTAGCTATATGTGGCATTAAAATGTAATTTTCTTACAGGAAATCAAATTAAAGAAGCTAAAATTGGTTGATTAGTAATTGGTAGACTTATTCATTTACATCCCACGTAGCTACGCCTTGACTTGTTGCTCTAATGTAGAGGTGATTTATGTAGTATATATAAATGATAATAAAGTTGAACTTATGAAATTTCTGTAGAATTAAAAGATTTAAATAAATCGATTTGACTGAACTAAGAAAAATAAAACGTATCATTTTCCATATTTTATATTTTCGTAACTAGGACTAGAAAATGAACTGACTAAATTGAACCATATTTCTATATAAAGTAGAAAAGTAGAAGTAATATTGGAAATCTACTTAAAAAAATAAATATAAGATATAAGAATCGACGAAAAATAAATAAAATAACAATCAAACAAGACGAGAACAGGTTGCTAGTCCTTGATATAAAGAGTTCCTGTTGAGATGTTACAAATTCCAGATTCTGTAGCCCTTTTAGATCTAGTATTGTAAATTGTAAAACTGTATAAAAATCAACCGTTAGTTATAACATTCATGAAAATCTAGAACACCTTTAGAACTCTATCTAGTATTGTGATTAGTGTCACCGCGCTAACATAACCTTCGACTGAACGTTGTGGCCTAGCTACTTTCAAACAATACGTCATTAAGTAAAGTGTAGGAGCACGTACTATTTATAAAATAAAATTTTATATGGCTTCATACATGTATTTATTAAATTTTAATAATGAATTAAAACCAAAATGAATGAAAATAGTATTAAGTGAAACTAAATATGTATTTGGTTTTAGTACAATATATGTATGTCTGTAGGTAATCGACCATGTTCATAACGTAATATACTTGTTTTAAAACGTTCATTATTACATTATCTTTATTTAAAAAACATATAAAAATAAGCTATTGGATTTTAGACATACCAAAAATTCATATTTCTTAGTTACATCTTCAGTTAACTATTTTGCATCTTATTTATTTTTGAGAATTTCAATATTAATTTTTATATAAGGATAATTGAAGATAATACGAGTATATTCATTGCGTATTTATAATAATAATTATCCGTAAAATTTGTAAGAAACAAATTGTCAACCTGAAAGTCGAGCTCTGCAAGTGAAGTTAGCAGACTTTATTCAAATAACACAATGGTAACAAATGCACATAGTTTTCTAGTTCAGGAGTTAGTTCCTGAATTTGAAAACTGTGTTCCAAGGGCTAGTACCTTTCCATATCAAACGTACATACACAATGCTCATACATATATGAAATTATGTACATTCAACTTACTTACTCTACATTTAAATCCTAATTAAATTCATTTGTTTTACCTAGATGCGATTTCAAATGTATGAGACTGTAGGTATTTTATCGTTTATATTTATATACTACTTTAGGTCTCGTGGCAATGAAAACGCTAGACAAAGGTGTCAAATGTTAATTAATAGTCCTTATCAACTTAAATTACGAAGTACATAGTTAAAGTACTAAATTGAATGTTAATGAATTACTAAAATCACGATTAAACATTATTGAATCGCTATAACAACACGTAGGCGAGGCTATAAATGAACACAGAAAATTAACATTAATGAATAAAAAGGCGGTTAAGATTATATATATTTTACTTATAAAACATTCTTATTTTATTTGAAAATTGTATAATCAAAGCCTTATTCTAGCTGGAATGACTGTGAAATTATTATTTTGGTTTAAGCTAATTAAAAATATTAGTTTTGTGTTAAGCCTATTACACAATTTCAACCGGCACGCGACATGCCATCTGGTCTTTCGGGGCCACGAAAAAACAATCTTTTTCAATATTGTAATGTTCAAATAGCGTACCTATTGCGTCATTATAAAAAATAAACAAAATCATTTTCCTACTCTCTAGATTCTAGATAGATAGATCTCTCTCTATTCGTTCACAAACTAAATAAAACAAGCAACTGATTTTTACTTATTATTAGTACAAAATTAGGAAGCTATATATGTATGTATTAATTATATGATTGCAAAGTTGGTATAAATGTATACAGTAAGTATATTTCTATTTAGAAATTAGTATCCATAACGTATTAGTATATTCGATTTAACATAACATGATTTCAGAAAAACTGAAACAACTTGGAGTAAGAATGGAGACTGGAAAGCCCGATACTCAAAATTGTACTCAATGCGAGGACTGTCGCTGTAAATATTTTTGTTTTAAATACAGCAAAAATTGAAGTAATATTTATATTAAATATTATATACCTGCATAATATTAAGTTATAAACTTTGATAGTATTTATGTAATAATAAATATTTTTAAATATTTAAACATTTTAGTTACCTAGCCGAATCAATAATAATTTATTCATTTAAACTTAGCATTCGGGTCACTTCATATGAAATACTTAGTGTCCACCTCATATCGCTGTTACTAAATGTAATGAATGTGCCTCATTTGGTATAAAATTTTACTTGATTCAGATAATCTAATTCAATTAGCGATATATTTCGTCAAGGCTTGTTGCTTTTACCAAGCATAGTAGTAGCAACAGCCAAGCCTATTCTGATTTGTGAGTCATCGTGTGATTCACTGACTGAGAAAAAGTCAATACAGCATCAAAACTTCATAAAATATTTAGGTACACTGTACGTACATATTGTGTTGTAAAATTACAAACGAGACAATTATGTTTTTTGAATTTTTGTAAATTGTATACTATAATAATTCTGCAATCCAAGATCTTAATGAAGTTTTAAAGTTTTTCTTATAAAATTCACAGTATTACTTATAACCTAAAAATTAAATGAAGTTTATTTGTGTATTTATTTTTATACTTTATACTTTCCAGAACAAAAAAGGTGGAACCAAGACGCATTTCATTTATGAGCGATGAGTCCACGCCGTATGCTTCGTTGCTAATAAAATTGAGAGCTAGTCAAAGAGATACTTCAATAAACTCTAATGATACTACACCCCAATACCTCACCTCTTTAATGTCACAGCGCAGTGAATCTTATAGATCGGGACTAGGTATCCAACCGTAAGTAAGACTTTCTTGATTACTAATAAGTATGTTTCTAACAAACTATAAACACACTATTATAGTTTCCCTTGAAATAAGAAACGCCTATGGATTGAACTTTCAAAAGCAACGGTCCTTTGTAAATATGATTTGTAGACGATTTTATAGATATTTGATTTTATAGTTAGACCCAAATATGTGCTCTAACCCAAATTTTGCTCCCAAACTTCAGCTTTCTATAAAATCTTCAGTTTGGGTTTTAATATTACATACCATAACAGATGTTACTAAATGAAAATATCAAAATCTTAAAAATAATATTATACTTTGGTATAGGTTATTATAATAATCTTAATATTAATTTTGTCGGATTTAAAAATAAAACATAATATGTATGTATTTCTAATACATAGGTTAAAGTCATTTTAAAATTTAAAGACGTTAATCAGTACTCTGTAAGTAAATATTATGTAAAATACTACTAATAATAGTATATAAATATATTTATTTTTTGATTAACTTTACACGAGCATCTACTTTTACGTATTAGGCAAAAGTATATAATATGTTATAATTCATTTTATTTGCTCATTTTCTCGCAATCAGTTTCTGCTACATCTCCTGACATATATTTGTATAAAACATTGAACACGTGTTTAATATATCATTCACACTAGAACTATATGTAAACCGTTTATTTTGCATAATTATTATAAATTAATTTTAATTTTATATTTAAGTACATTTTTGAAATATTTTTAAAAGACGATAAAAAAGAGGATTCTCAATTCGACACGTATATTTTTATAGAGGACAATCTTTTAGTAGTTTTATAAAATATTTTTATATGTATAAAGGAATAAATATATATTTTTTTAAACTTTTTTAGGTCTAATAATTTTAATGAAACTGGAACATATCTTTTGGACTTGGTGCGCTCCCGGAGCCGCGAAGCTGAAGATGAAGTACGGGATCAACCCTTAATATTACCACGTGAAGATACTGTTAATGAGTAAGCCGTCGTATTTTATATTTGAATTTATTAAAAACAGAGACTCCGATCTTCACAATTGAAATGTTGACAAACATAGGATGTTACCTATTTTAGATCCGAAATAAGGGCGTCCTTCTGGTCCTTTACTCTAACTGCTTTCAGGATGAAAATATTTTTTATTAAATATAATACACAATAAAGTCGGTTAAAAATATATTGGAGATGGTTTGTGGGTTAAATACATCTATAATGAAGTTGACCGTTCCTTTTTTTGACTAATTGTTTGTCAAATAAAACTTGTGTACCAGGTATGGGTATAAGATTTCTGCAAAAAATCGATTTTGAATTACGGTCGCTAGGCTTTGAAATTTAAGAATTGGAGCCAGACAGATACGCGACAGTAGGTAGGTATAGCAATCCACATTCGATTTGAATTTACGGGTGAAGATTTTCCAAAAAATATTTAATGTACAGGTTCGACTAAGTTAGAATTTTATTATAATATGTATAAATTAAAAATATAGATAGATAATAAAAAAAGATTTATTATGTTGTTGATATATAATATTACCAATTTATTATATTTTTCTAAATTTATAATTTTCCTGTTTTTGACACGATAAGACTGGTATGAATTTTCTATTTTATAATCTGATTTAAATACAACTATATAAATATTAATTTGCTCTGGATGTTTAAAAACTATTTACTCATAAAGGTAATTATTTGTTGAAAAACATATGTAGGTAATGTACGTGTCTTCAATAAAAAGTTTTAATACAGCTTACATCATACTCCATAATACAGCATAAGTATATTTTCCCGCAACTTTCACTACATGAATTAACTAAAACTTTCCCATAGCTCATGCGATGGATCATTAACAATACCTACCATGTTATGGTTGAAGAGTAGAGACCACCTAAATGTCAAGTTAAAAATTGCACATCTTAGGAGCAATATTAGAAAAACTAACCTATATCCATCCTTAGGATTTAATGTATCGAAATGCCATCATAAATCGTAGTAATCATTGTACAGATCATTAGTTAATTATACTACAATATTCCTGTAAATATCACAATATATCACTTTATAAATTTATTTAAAAAGTTTGTACAGATTGCTTGCATATTTACATTTATTTACCAGTAATAATTCATTACAATTTATATTATTTACTATTTATTAAATATTCAGACACAATACAAATTTGTTATTGCTTTTACCATGTCATATTTTTAAGCCGTGAATCATGTCTGATTGTGATGCAAGAAAATCTTGTCGCGTAGAGAGATCCTGTCACGGCCGACTTTATTATTGCATTTCGGGGAGACTGCTGCTTATTATACGAGAATTGCATTTTTAATTATGAACTCCTTCAAGGAAAATTTTATATTTAAATATTATTTTACCAAAAAATATAAATTTTTATCAATTTTGGAAAATTAAATCCTAATTACAGTTTCAAGCTTAAAATTCGTTATTTAATTATATTTTATCGTGTATAAAATTATACTGTGTTATATGATATGTCTGTAATTTATTGGCACTGTTTATAACAAGTATATAACGCCTTCGAAACTGAGACATCTAAAACCTTAGTCTCTCCCGTGACCATGATTGCTGTAAATCATTCGAAACGTCGGGACGAAAATCAAAATAAATCCGCGAAATAATCCGAAAAGATAGTTTTATATTAAATATGAATATGTTGGGACATTAACACACAGCACCATCTAGTTCCATGGCTACGAGGAGAGCTACGAGGCTAGGGTTATGGATACCAGATAGCTGATACACTAATATGTATTTAAAGTTATATATATGTATATATAAATAACTTTAAATACATACATTTTATAAATATAAGCACCCATGACTGAAGTACAAACATTCGTGCTCATCACACAAATGAATATTCCCAACGGGACTCAAACCCGCGACCGCTGGCACAGCATGTAGGGTCACTACAAACTGAGCAAAACGTGTCGTCAATGTAAAAAATAATCATTGTAAAAACATTTATATGGTATTAATTAATGTCTTATATTTAATATTCATGACAACATTTCAAGTATTTGCTTACGTAAAAAAAAACGAATCTATTTCCAATGGCTTTACGAATTTATCATATACCGTCTTTATGTTGTATATATCTCAGTGCAAATATAAACGACGCCTGCATACACGGCCTGAGCATTCGTATGACGGAGCGCAGCGTGTCTCGTTCACGAGTCTCCCGGATGTCTACAAGGCGTGACATGGACATTCCGTCTATACTTGCCTTCACTGCGACCGTACCTGAACCGGTGACTATGACTTAATATTTATAAGCAACTACGTAACTACTAAACGTTACCTTTTTCACGTTAAAACGAGAAGCGCGAGCTACATCTTACTTAGAATAACAGACCATATAAAATGAAAGGTAATTGATTAGACTCCTATTGTATTGTATTGTACATATTGGACTCGTTTTCCGCACTTAGACTCGCATTTGGTCCGTTGTACGTTGCGAATCCTGGCTAGTTCAGTTAGCCTAACTCCGTCCAAAAGCGCAAAAGCTTCCTGGGTGCATCACAGGCTTCGCGGAGCGACCTCACCGGTTCGAGGATTAGACTCCTATAATATCAAACTTTTCAGTATCAAGTTAAAAAATGTCCATTTACTTTTTTTTTAAACGGTTATAAAAATTAATAAATAAAGAAACTTTTTATCTATACATATAATAAAATTGTAACTAAGTCGAATCTGTACATTAAATATTTTTTGGAAAATCTAATTGAAATAGACATTATTATCGATACAGAGTCCGAATCTATAGTTTTTAGAATTTTTGTCTGTCTGTCGAGAAAACCACTGGATAGATTTTAATGAAATTTGGTATGATGATAGCCGGTTATCCGGGTCAACATATAGGATACTTTTTACCGCGGGAAAATATCTCATTTCTGAGAAAAAATACAAAAATTGCATTGTAAGAGTATATTAATATGTAAAAATTAAGAATTTGGTTTTTGGTCATCTGAACGCGGGCGGAGCCGCGGGCAATGCTAGTCTATTATAAAACTAAATAATTCATTCATATTTATTATATGTAATTCATTTAGGTACATTTAGAAATACCAGCCTTCCAAAAGGTAGAACCACAACGTGAGGAAATCCCGCGGTGGTCTATTCGTCGCTCGGTTTGTCCCGTCTGTTCTCAAAAATGGAGAGACAAAAGCTCTATAAAGAGTGTCAAATATTCAGGTAATAAAGTCTTGTAATCAATTCATTAAAGCTTTTATTATCTATTGTGTAGTTTAAATTTCTTATTATAATTAATAAAATGTGTAATCTTTTCAATTTACGTAAGGTATTTTAAAATAACATGTTCATCCATTATAAATAGCTGCTGCGTACGGCTGAACCCGGGTTTATATTCTACATTTATGGATTTTGTATATTTTATACTCTAGGCAAATATCTAAATACGCATGTTCTTTAAGCATGGGCGTAGTAGTAAAAAATAGTACCATAAACATAAAAGAACAGAATAAAAAACAGCTTCAAACTAAAAATTAAAATGTTGCTCTCTTTAAATATATTGCCGCATCGGATAAAGTCAACTTTAAATGTGATTAATATGAGCGTTTAATAATTCTTACTAGTAGATAATATTTACATACAGCGTAATTATAGGGCTGAAAAGAAATTCATCGTCTGAGCTGCCATCTGTAATAGCACCGGCTCGCTTGCGGACATCAATCACAATGGGATAGTATGTGCCCATAATATTTATTTTATGTGAAAATAAGTAATAATAACTAATCCATTTTTATTAATTTTTTCATGATCTTAAGAAACCCTCATTGTAAGTTTAACTTAAGGGTGGTCTCAGTACGTCTATAACTATCTAAAGAATCAAAAAGAAAAAACCTAATTGTTGATCAACTTTAAAACTGAAGGAGGTTCTGAAATTGGGTGCATGTTCTTATGTTTGCCAATTTTTTACCAAAAATGATAAAATTCAGAACAAAATGTTTTTCAAATATAAATAATAATTAAGTATTTTAAGGACACTGAAGTCGGTGCAACTTTTTTATTATTATTATTATACTTATGAGTAACAACGTCGTTCTTAATCATACATCCTAAAAGATAGTTTTATTTAAAACTATGTTATAATTGAAATCATCAGTTTATTTAAAATGTTAACTTAAATGAACATTAAATGCAGATTAATCGTTTATATATTCTTCAGTGCTCCTCGACTTATACCTGCGGCGTTAGATGAAGAAGTGGGAGTGGTTCCTGGAAGCCTTCGAAATACAAGTGCCACATGGCAATTAACCCGAGCCCGCCGATTCCGAACACCGAAACCTCTGTTACCACCTCCAGAAGCTACCGCACCTCCAAGTTGCAATGCGTCAATGGCGCGAAAAGATTTAGACTTACGTGTATCCAGATTTCTTTCCGATGAATTTAAATGACAATAATTTTATATGTGACGGACATTTTATATCAATATATCTCACGTTTCGCTTCTATGATATATTTTAATTTTTCCTTCTTCTTAGCGCAATATTACTAACGAATATCACTTTAACCCCAAAAAGCACTACACAATACTGAACTACAAAATATTTATTCGAAATTGGTAAAGAAATAACTACTTAATTCATGGCACGAATCATCGATAAACTTAAAGCACCCGGTACCTATCTACTCTCTGTTCACTATCTATATCTACATATTATAATAAAATTATAACTGAGTCGAATCTGTACATTAAATATTTTTTGGAAAATCTTATTGACATAGACATTATTATCGATATACAGAGGCCGAATCTATAGTTTTTAGAATTTTTGTCTGTCTTTCTGTCTGTCTGTGTCTGTCTGTCTGTTACCGCATCATAGAAAAACCACTGGAGGGATTGTGATGAAATTTGGTATGGTGATAGCTGGTTATCCGGGTCAACATATAGGATCCTTTTTACTACGAAAATACCCTCATTTTTGGAAAAAAATACAAAAACTACAATGTAAGAGTATACTAATATGTAAAACCTAAGAATTTGGTTTTCGGTCATCTGAACGCGGCGGAGCCGCGTGTAATGCTACTATTATAATAAAATAAATTGTGAAGCGAAACTTTATGAGCCGCCATTCACATACGAATTAATTTGGGATTGGGATTTGACCTTTCACATGACTTTAGGCAAATTTTCCCAAAACCAAACATCGTTACAAAAGAAACCACATTAAATGCTTATTATTTAATAATAACGAAGACTACAATTACTTTTGCCTCGTTTAGCGACTTTCCGGTATTTTACTTTACGAGTTATGACGACAAAGGAACAGTACAGTTTCTATGTCTATGGTTGTAGCCATTTTTGACTACAAAATAACACTGCAACAAAATCGGATAAAATAGTTCTAATAAAAATGACAAAAATTCGCGTTAAATAAACAGATTTCCATTCAGAGAATTAAATAAACAGATTTCTATTTCGTAGTTTTCTTCTGCAGTAGCTGCATAAAATTGTAAAACATTGGACGAAGGGAAAACAGACGGCACCACATTCTCCTTTAACTTTCGACATTGTAAATTAAAACCTGCAATTTAAACAGTTATGGTAGTTTATTTATTGTGTATCTGTAAAAGTTCCAATACTAGTAAAAATACGCAAAATAAATAAAATATTCACCTATAGACGATTTGACAGTTTTAAAATTACCTTCTGTAAAATGGTGTCCACATACACGTAGCCAAATAAAGTTAAATATAAAGATAGTTATTTCGCCAATTTTAGTTGTCTTATTGCTTTAGCCTACAATTTATTCAGTTTTTTTGTCTTTTGGGAACAAATTATATCCATTTTCTTTGCATCCTGGGACTACAAAATTTGTCATTTTAATTAAAGTACCTGGGCGACCGAGCTTCTCTCGGAGTTTTTGGCCAAAAAAACATTTAAAAAAAACAAACTAAAAACTTGAATAAATACAAAAAAAACAAAAGTAAAAACTTTGTACCCGACCGGGATACGACCCGGACACCTGTGGTTGTCAAACTTGCGCCTTGGCCACTTAACCACGATGCTTATGTCCGAGCGTGCGAATCAGCGAACATATTTTGCGTGCGAAACAAAACCTCATAAAAATTCGAAAACACGCGTTTTCCCAGACATAAAACTAATCTAGATTGATTTATCGCCCCCGAAACCCGTTGTATACTAAATATCTTGAAAATCGTTGGAGCCGTTTCCGAGATTCAGTTTATATATATATACAGGGTCATTTTTAATTTACTGAAAACCTTTTGGGAATACACTATTTACAACATAACAAGAACATCTGTACGAAAAAAAACAAAAATATCTTAAATTTAACAAAAATAAAAATATTTTTATTGCACCTTCTAAATGGTAATAGTCCAGCATTAGCAAAACAAAGTGCGTATCCGGTGGAGGGGGAGGGGTGGAGGGGTGTAGGAAGCCGCGCTTGCTCATTCAAACTTGGCCAGATGCTAGAACTTTAAAGTTTAGAAGGTGCAAAAAATATATTTTTATTTTTGTGTGAAAATAAAAATTTGAGTGATATGATTTTTTCTTGTTACAGATGTTGTTATTATGATGTAAATAGTTTATTCCCAAAAGGTTTTCAGTGAATTAAAAATGACCCTATATACATATATATATATTTTAAGATATGAATATCTAATAGATAAATATGTATTTTACATATCGAAATATATTAGATTTGCTTTGCATCGGCTGGCATACACTTCGAAAATATCTGATTAAGTATCTATTCTAAATGAAAAATGAAAAATAACTAAACAGAGGTTCCGTTTAGTCATTTTTTACATTTTAGTGCCTGGACGTCGGTTTTTTTTTTAAGTTTTTGCAACTTTTAAATACATATTGCGGCATTGTGAACGTTTACGCTGGCAGTGTTTCAATAGAACTAATCGAAATATACGCTCACTTTGCAAGTGAGCTTATATTTACCGAGACGGATTTCTTACGCCGACCCGATTTCTAATAGTATTGTTGATCGAAGGTTAATTTATTCATATTACGATTAACACAATCATATAAAATTGCAGAAGAAAAAATAAATCTGTTTTTCCATTAAATAGCCAACAATTATAATAATCATAAATGTGTTTGCATCTACGAAAACATTTATTTCTCTTTGCTAATACTCCTAAAGAATTTCATTGATTTGATTTGGGGTTGGCAACACTGGTTGACAGAATTCACTTCAGAGTTCCGACTTCAGAGTTCAGAATTGTTGTTCAATTGTTCCCAAATCACAGTTTAGTAGCTTGATTCGATTTTCTTAGAATACCTACATACGAAAAGTCTATGATTTCTTTTATTCAAAAATTAAATACGAATAAATATTGTCCTTAAACTAAAACAAGTAAAATGCCATTACTTCAACACTCTCGTAATGTTATGTGTGCCGGGAAATGTCTTAATGCACGTTTTTTAACAACTTCAAGAAAGATTATGTCTAAAACTCTGTATTACTGCGAATTTGGTGACCCCGTTAAAGTGGTCAAACAGAAAGAATTAACGTTAACGCCTCTTCAATCTCATGAAGTACTTGTCAGGATGTTAGCAGCACCAGTAAATCCGGCGGACATAAACACCATACAAGGTACCAAACAAATTATATAAAATCTTTTTACCAGTTCATTTCAGAATAACACATGAAATTAAACGCTCAAGTGAAGACTATTTATCTTGTTTTCCAAAAGTTTAATAAGGTATTTCCTTTTTTGTTGTTTATTCTTGGGATTTGCTACCAGTATTATTTTGATTATACATAAACGTTTTTAATTTTAGGAAAATATCCTTTGAAAACTAATTTGCCCACTATACCGGGGAATGAAGGTGTTGGTATTGTAGAGGATATTGGAGAAGATATTGATGACATATGCCCAGGTGACAAGGTTATTATAACTAAACCAGGAAAAGGTACATGGCGTACTGTTGGTGCTTTCGAAAAGAGAGATGTAAAAGTAATTCCTGAAGATTTGGGACTAGTTGAAGCAGCAACACTTTCAGTTAACCCTTGCACTGCTTACAGGATGTTATCAGACTATAAACCAGTAAAAGATGGTCTTGTTGTTATACAAAATGGTGCAAATAGTGCATGTGGACAAAATGTTATCCAAATATGTAAAGCCTGGGGTGTCAAAAATATTAATATAGTGAGAAACAGACCTGAAATTAATGAATTAAAGAACTATCTTGAAAGCTTAGGTGCCACCTATGTACTTACAGAAGAAGAGTTACGTAAAACAGATATATTCACAGAAAATAAGATTGATAAACCAGCATTGGCATTAAACTGTATAGGGGGCAAAAGTGCATTAGAAATGATGAGACATTTGGAACATGCCGGTGTAATGGTGACTTATGGGGCTATGTCACGAGAACCTATAAACATTCCAAATTCATTACTTATTTTCAGAAATTTATCATTCTTTGGGTTTTGGATGACAGCTTGGAATCATCAAGCTTCATCAGCAGAAAAAGAAAAAATGATGGAAGATATTATAACTTTAATACATGAAAATAAACTGAAACCTCCTATTTATAAAATGGTGAAGTTAGAAGATTATAAAGAAGCACTTCAAAATACACTTTCAGTAACGGGCTTTAAAGGATGCAAATATATTTTGGACTTTAGTACTTAGATTTTAATTTAAGTGTGTATCTGAATGTGATTTTATATTAATTATAAATGTAAATGACTGAATATATATTGTACTCTTTCAAAAAGAAGTTATGAGTGTAGGTTTACACTGTCAAAATTATAAACTTTTCTTTAATATATTAAAGGGCTGTTTTACTAGACACTTTTATGTTGCTAAGATTAATAAATGTATCAAGTTATTATTTATAGAATAAAAATATACAAGTGAATATACTGGTGTGTATGTATTTCCAGGGAGAAATTATTGCTTGCCACGCTTACCCACTGTACCTGGAGATGAGGGAGTTGGAGAGGTAGTAGAAATTGGTAATAAAGTAAGCTCTGTAGATAATGGTGAAAGGGTTGTGTTAACTACGAGATGTCTTGGTACCTGGCAATACTATGGCATTTATGATGAGAGAGATGTCCATGTTATATCCCCTAAGATCCCCCTTCCTGAAGCTTCCATGTTAACTATAGCTCCATGTACAGCTTATAGAATGATTAGAGATTTTAGAAAATTAAAGCCTGGAGACACTGTAATTCAAAATGCTGCAAACAGTCCATGTGGCCAAAATATTATACAACTTTGCAAGGCATGGGATATAAATACTTTTAATATAGTTGCAAATAACTATTGTTATGAATCTGTGAAAACCCATCTCTTAAATATAGGTGCAACAGCAGTTTACACACTTGAGGAAGCAGAAGAACTTACATCTTTTAACACATCTTTGGCTAGGCCAATATTAGCCTTGAACTGTCTAGGAGGAAGATTCGAGGATGTTTTACTAAAACTACTTGAACGAAATGGTACTATTGTATATTACGGATCTGCTTTTGACATACCAATTGTAAAACATGTACTGCGTAGTGATGTTGCATTTAACAAATTTCATCTTTGTGAATGGGATTCTCGAGCTGGCATATTAGAAAAAGATATAATGATGAATAATATTACTAAGTTAATGGTTATTGGAAAATTAAGAGCTCCTCTATATCAGCCAATTGAATTGAAGAACTTTGTTTTTGCTTTAAAAAATACAGCTAATTGTGAAGCCTTTTCAATGATTAATTATGTATTTGATTTTACTTTGCCATAATCATCGCCTAGTGACAATTAATATTCACTTTCTCATATTATTACATATTAAACCCTAATTGATTAAAATTGAAGCAAAACTAAAAAAGTTCAAGATGTAAGTCATTCTATTAAAAAAATTAACAAAGCTTTGACTACCTACTTAAAATGAAAAGTATACATTCAGTACATTACATTGTTTAATATAATTACCATTCTTTTTGATCTATGTATTTTCTTTTTTTATCTCATCCATAGCCTTATTAGATGATACCATTATAAAAACTTAAAAAAAAAAGAATTAAAACCGACTTCCAGGCACAAAAATGTAAAAAAATAACTAAACGGTGGTTTTCATTTAGAATAGATACCTAATCAGGTACCTATTTTCGAAGTCGGCGCCAGCCGATGCAAAGCAAATCTATAGGTATACTACTAATAGAATAAAGAGGTAAAGTTTGTGACGTTGTAGGGGGTAATCTCTCTGGATCTACTGCACCGATTTAGATGAAATTTGGCCAGAAGATAATTTGAGACCCTGGGAAGAACATAGGATACTTTTTATTCCAAAAATCATCTCTTATGGGGGTGAAAATGGGGATGAAATTTGTATGGGGAATCAATCAATATATTTCGATATCTACGTAAAATACATTACAAATTGATGTAGGTATTAATATTTTAACTACTCTCGTGAGCAAAAAAATCGACTCAGGACGCACGCTTGCGGTTAAAAAGCTCTAGCAAAAAATCGGAAGCTTTTATTATATTTCTGATTCTAACATCTCAAAGTTCTTTGTTTTAGCTTTAAAATGAGTGGTCTATGTTGTTATTAAAAAATGTTTTCTGGTACAGAAAAAATATTGAATGAGATGGAGTTATGGATTAAGCAATAAAAAAAGTGATGGTTGACGGTAAAGAAAATACCACGTAAAATTCGTCAAAACAATAATTTAATTAAAATTATTTTTTTAATATTTAGTGTTGCCCCCCCTGGCCCTAATAACAGCTTCCAATCGCTTTTTCATGGATTGAATAAGTTTCCTTACTCGATCTTGTTCGATGCTATTCCATTCGTCGATTAACGATGCTTTGAGGTCTGCCATCGTGTCTGGTGCAGGATTTCTAGCCCAAACTTTTCTTTTAAGATCATTCCACAAATGCTCAATAGGATTTAAGTCCGGGCTACGCGCTGGCCAGTCCATAGCGGCAATTGCGACCTCCTGTAAATACTGCCGGACGGAACTTGCAGTATGTGGACGGGCATTGTCGTACATTAGGACGAAGTTTTCGCCAATGAAACCGGCGTAGAGAACGACGTGATCCTCTAAAATCTCTTCGATGTATCGGATCGCCGTAATTCCTCCCATTCGACCGCCAGTTTCAATAAAAACCAACTCGGTTTTTGTCTCGCTTGAAATGCCGGCCCACACCATCCAGGAACCTCCTCCAAAAGCAATATTTTCTTTGATACAGCACTGCGCGAACCTTTCCCCAGGTCTTCTGTAGACTCGTCCTCTTCTATCACTACCATGCAAGCACACTCTACTTTCGTCTGAGAAGAGAACGGTGCTCCATTGTTCGTCAGTCCAATCAACATGTTCTCTAGCAAAACGTAGGCGGGCTGCTCGGTGGTCTGGGGTTAATTTGGGGCCAGTAGCTGGCTTTTTTGGCTCGAGCCTAGCTGCCTTAAGTCGTCTTCTGACTGTCCAGCCACTCACAGCTACTCCTCGCGTTTCTCTGAGCTCTTGTTGGACTTGAACGCCAGTGAGGGCCCGATTTATTAACGATGTACTGACAATAAATCGGTCATCTCTCTCTGATGTGCACTTTTTTCTACCGGAACCGCGTCTTCGATTAAAGCCACCACTCTCCTGGTAACGACGGTAAACTCTGGAAACAGCAGACTGGCTCATGTTCAGTGCACGTGCCACTTCACACTGACTCTGGCCTTGTCGCAATAGGGTGATCGCTTGAGCTGCTAAATCGCTTGTTGTGTCCATGTTTAGGTAGAATTCTTGATTGTTGATAACGGAGATGTGTATCGGTTGACGTTTGACGGCTAACTGATAGATAACCTAGTCAGGTAGATAACCTTTTATATGGGTCAGTAACCCTTAATTAGCACTATTGTAAACAAGCGTAAAAAGGGTGGTTACTGATCACAACATATTGTTGGGTTGTGTGAGCAATAAACCTTATTTATTTATTTATTTATTTATTTATTTACTTCTTTTTACACATTGTATCAATTCAATGATCACTTGTGTACGTCAATTAGAAGACTTAAACTAAAGCTACGAGGGTTCGTAACGCGCCCTGGTCTGAGAAGAACCCACAAGAAACTCAGCCAAGTAACATTTTTTTTTATTGTGATCATTGTTTCACAAACATCCTTACAATATTTTATATCATTTTGAAGCTAATACTAGCAGCTTTAAGATTTTACTATGAAAAAAATATATTTGCTTTCAGTTTTTTTTTCAGTGACTTGCGACTACAGATGTGTCGTCTGAGTCGATTTTTTTGCTCATGAGTGTATTTTAGAGTTCATACCTAATCATATTTATCTATTAGATATTCATATCTTAAAATATTGTAGGCTGGCACCGACTTCGAAAATATCTGATTAGGTATCTATTCTAAATGAAACCCCCCCATTTAGTTATTTTTTACATTTTAGTGCCTGTAAGTCTGTTTTAATTATTTTTTTCTATTTTTAGTGTAGACGTAATAAGCAGGTAATTTATAAGAAGAAAGTTTTTTATAACATATTCGACTAGCGACTCACCCTCGCTTCGCTCGGGTTCGTCCCTAGCTTGATTCCCCATACAAATTTTCATCCCTTTTTTTTTTAATGTTGGGAAATGCATTTACGCACGACGTGTGGGACTCACCGGCGTAATACAGCCAGTACTACCCACTAAAACCCAACAAAACCTTCCCCCGTCTTAATGGGGCGTCGCAGGATCGCTTATGCATTCAACTACGACGCCCCGACGGCAGGTCTGCCGAGGCAGACCACCACAACCATGGGGTTGCTCCAAGGTCCACTCTGCGGAGCAACCCGCATGGTACACCGCCCTCCGAAGAGGGCCACCTTCCACCACCCACCGAAGTGGGCAACCTCCCTGTGCGTTTCTTAGCTTCGCGCCCGGTTGGGTTGCCGGGCACTACTGAGCCCCCCCACCACGACAAGGTGAACGCACGTTGGGGGGGAACAAATTTTCATCCCTATTTTCACCCCCTTATGGGATGATTTCCGAGATAAAAAGTATCCTATGTCCTTCCCAGGGTCTCAAACTATCTTCATACCAAATTTCATCTAAATAGGTTCAGTAGATCCAGAACAAAAAAAAAATATATAAATAATACACAACAAACTTTACCTCTTTATAATATTAGTATAGATTAGGTAAGCAATTTATTTAAAAAAATAATTTATTGTACATTTTTTTAAAAACCCCTCGACCGATTTCGATAATACGTCTTCGAGTAATCGCCAATCGGTGAACACTGAACATACATAAAAATAAAAGATTCCGACGAATTGAGAACCTCGTCCTTTTTAAGTCAGTTAATAAAAGGTCGATACCTACTTAACTATATGCCTATTGCCTATTTAACTTTGGTAATATATATAATTTTAATTTGTGTAGGTACCATATGGGAGCATGCACCCCACACCCCCTACCCTCTTTGTAAGATTTCGTAAGTTTTTGCTCGCCCCCCTCCCGGCTTCCCCCACCCCTAATCTCACGTGAGAATTGAGATTTTTTAAAATGCGTATTTGCAATGTATACGAGTTAATCTGTGCTTCGATTACATTAATTTATTTAAAAAAAAAAATCTTTATTTAAGACTAGTACCTATTTAAGATTTTTAATTACGTAGCATGATAAAAATTTAAATTCGTAAAAAAATATTATTATATAATATACCATGAACGAATTAGCTACAATTCGTTCATGTAATATATTATTGAATGGTAAGACATATTTGTTAATGTTTAATAAATGAATAAATTGTTTCCAAAAAATATATTTTTTAATAGTTGATAAATTCTTCTATCAGTGCATAATGAAACCGCAATGAATATTATTACGAGTATATATGATTTAGCCAGACTCGACGATGATTACTGAATGTTTCCCAGCCTAGCTGCATTTTCTTTGAGCTTCGAAAGTAGCTTTTCGAAGTAGTTTTTACTACTTAACTGAATGCAAATAAAATATGAAGCTATCTGATAACTGTTTGTTGCCATGTAACCGTTGTTATTGTCTAACAAATCTCCTTCTATACATATAATAACATTGTAACTAAGTCGAATCTGTACATTAAATATTTTTTGGAAAATCTCTTTGAAATAGACATTATTATCGATACAGAGTCCGAATCTAGTTTTTAGAATATTTGTCTGTCTGTCTGTCTGTTATCTGTGATGATAGCTGGTTATCCGGGTCAACATATAGGATACTTTTTACCACGGGAAAATATCTCATTTCTGAGAAAAAATACAAATTCTGCGTTGTAAGAGTTTACTAATATGTAAAACCTAAGAATTTGGGTTTTGGTCATCTAAACGTGGGCGGGCAATACTAGTATAATACTAAAATATCGCTGAAATTGTTGCTGAACGCAAATCTCGAGAGCAGCTGAACCGAATTCGCTAATTCTTTTTTTAGAATATTCCTTGAAGTACGAGAATGGTTCATATGGAGAGAAAAAAATTAAAAATTGCCTGAAGAAGTTTAACAACAAAACTTTTCTATACTACCATACAAAAGATTCGTAATAATACTTAAAAGTCAATTTTAATTTTAATACCATACCATAAAGTTTAAGTGTTAGTGGAGAGGTTCCGGGAAGGCAAAACAATTGTAGTTAGATCATAGTTGTTGTTACTTATTAGTATCGTATAAATATTAATGTCAATATTTGTCAATATTTACACGATGGTAAAATTACTTAAAAACAAATCTATACAGATAAATAAAATTAAAGTGTCTGGTTGTAATGTCAAAATAACAGTTTTTTACTAAATGCATATGAAATTATATACGGTACTTATAAGAAAAACACAATTTTAAGAAGTTTTGTTTGTCTGTCTGTCTGTTTGTTACATTTTCACGAGAATTTCACTGGTAGATAGCTAATGTTATATGGAGTAAATTAGGCTACTTTTATTTTAGAAACAGAATTATTGTTCCGCTCAAAAAAGCCATGGTAAGTCGATGATACACACAGTAACACACATTAGATAAACGGAACTATCGACACGAATAAAAATATCATAAACAGAAAACTATGGACAATATTTGTTTACATATTTTTCAAATTATGCATGAGCATGCTTAGGTACTGCCTATGATAAAAAATATGATACGAATTTGATACGCTCGTCGCTCAAATACATATCGAAATTCGATGTGTCGAGAATAAAAATATCGATTATTATATCGTAAATTTTTGGAAAAAATTTTTTTTTTGATTTACGTATTCAATATTATTTAATTTTTATTTTTTAGTTTTTGACAAGAGTGAAGTGACAGTCTGCTCTATTGCTATTCTGAATCTGTCAAATGACAGTGACAATAAAGAATTCTTATTAACATTTGAATTGTTTGCTTTAAAACAAAATTATGTTCTAAATAACGAATATTATGTGAAATAAATCACCTTAGTAAAATATTTTTAAGCTTTTATTTATAGAAATGAAATAAACTTTATGAACCATAACTTTTTTTAGCGCAAGCGATAATTTAATATTAATTCAGGTTAGTTATGTAAAATTAACGTTTTAAACTAAAATATTTTAGTTTCTAAGAAAATGTAATAAATGATTCGATCTTACTAGCATGGAAAAAGAAGCTTACGAGTCCTACGAGTATCTACAAGAAAATAATGAAGATAATGAGGAAAACCAGTTTATCGTTGTTCAAGATGACGGCACAATTCTTAGTGGTAAGTAGATATTAATCACGTTTAATCAATAATAAGATTTCAATAAAGTTTGTTAATTTTTTGCTTAACGCCCTATATGGGTGTGGAACATATCATAACCTCAAATTTATCAACCAAAATTGAATATTTGAAAATATGTTCTCTGTTGTAGGCACGACGCAAGCATGATAAATGCTCCTTACAGTATTAAATAAAAGAATTTTACATTATATGTCTAAATTAAACTAATAATCATACACCATTTTGTTAACAGTGAACAGACCAATTCAGTATGTCACTCAGGTGCAAGATGTCAAAGAAGCTTTAGATCATGCCCAAGCCAATATTGTTTATGATGTTACTCCTCAGCAATTTTATGTTAATGTAGATAATTCTTCTGAACTTGTTTCCGTAACTGGTAAATACAAAATGCACATTATATAATAATTATTTTATTCTCTCTCATTAAATTTTTCTAATCAATTCTATGGCTATCAATATTAATAAAATGTAGAATATATTTGATAATAAGTTATAATTTTCATTTATTAATTCATTTTGTAATTTAAATTTAATTTATTAATTTCCAGATCAGTTTATATTACCAGAGGGTGAAAATAACATGTATGCTAACAGTTTCTTAATACAAGCTGTAGAAAATGACGAGGAGGAACAGGTGAGAGATGCTTCTCCTCTATAGTATATTTAAAAAAATGGATAGCCAATTATCAAGTTAATTAAATAGAAAGTACTTTAAATCAATAGCAATAGTCTCAAAGGCCTTTGATAGGGTCTGGCACGATAGCCTTATAAGCAAGCTTGCAGCCTATGGCATATCTCCTGGCCTGATCCGCTGGATTAAAGACTTCCTGAGCGACCAATCACTCAGAGTTGTGGTTGAGGGTTGTTCATCACAACCCTTAAAGACCAACTCAAGAGTTCCTCAGGGGTCTGTTCTCTCTGCAACCTTGTTCCTGCTGCATATCAACGATCTGCTTATACCCAGTATCTATGGGTACGCAGACGACAGCACTATTGTAGAGAGATACCTGCCGAATCCTCGGGCCAGTAGAGATCAAATTCAGTCCGAAAGAGAGGCCATGGTAGAGCGGTTGAATCTCACACTCAGGACAGACTCCACTTGGGGTGATGCCAATCTTGTGAGTTTCAACGCCACCAAAACACAGGCGTGCCTGTTCACATCAAAACGGAGTCCTTTTACCTTGACCCCTACTTTCCGGAATGTGCCTCTGGAATACACTGACCGTCTGCAGTTGTTGGGCATGGACATTCGCCCCAATATGAACTACGGGCGGTTCATTGAGTCTAAGGCTAATGTCGCAGCGAGGAAAGTTGGCATACTAGCAAAGATCCGACAGTATTTCACAACGGGACAGCTTCTTGTTTTATATAAAGCTCAAGTCCGGTCGTGTGTGGAATACTGTAGTCACATTTGGGCTGGTGCTGCGACATTCCACCCGTCCGGACGAAGCGTTTCGCTACGTCATTCATTATACGTGCGGCTAAGGATTGGAACAAAGGGAAAAAAAATAATAATAACATAATAAATAAATCTTTGTTTTTACATCTTCAATTTTTTAGATGGAACAAGATGGAGCTGTACAACCTAAAGAAGAAGTAGATAATAATGCATGTGTTGAAGTAAGTGTAGAGCTAGATAATGCAGAGAACAAAACAAATGGTGATTGCACTGAGGTAGGATATTTATCTATACATATAATAAAATTGTAACTAAGCCGAATCTCTACATTAAATATTTTTTGGAAAATCTTATTGAAATAGACATTGTTATCGATACAGAGGCTGAATCTATAGTTTTCAGAATTTTTGACTGCCTATCTCTCTGTCTGTCTGTCTGTTACCGCATCACGAAAAACTACTGGAGGGATTTTGATGAAATTAGGTATGATGATAGCTGGTTATCCGGGTCAACATATAGGATACTTTTTACTGCGAGAAAATATCTCTTCTCTGAGAAATCGATAATAAATGTTAAAACATAAGTAGAGTAAAATAAATGTACAAAATAAATTAAAATAATGATTACAAAATAAAACCATTTACCTACTTTGATAATAGTAATTTATTTCTTTCTTTAGATAACTTTAAGTGATGATCAGTATCAACTGTTAGAACAAAAAGGCTGGATATTGTTGGAAACATCTGATAAAATATATTTACTGGATACACTTGGACTACATGACATTACAGCAGATAAAAGTATGTATAGTATATATTTAATTAATTCTTCAACATTGATTGAAGAAAGATGCTTACTAGAATTTTTTGTCTATGGTGACATTAATCTATGTTTTTTTAATTATTTATTACTAAGCACACTAACAATACACATGTTAAAACAATTCAATACAATTAAAGTGAACAAAAAAACAGACATGCACATCAATTACAAGAGAACATAGCATTCATAATAATATTAATTACATATTATAGTAAGGGATTATTGCAGTAGGTACTTGATAAAAGATACAATATTAACAAGATTTAAAAAAAAATAAACGAAATAAAGTAAAAATAAAAAGAATTCGATTTTATTTAAATAACAATTGTATAAAATGATTATATATTTAAATCACAGTTTTGGAAAAGTACAATAGTTTTATTGTATTCATTGAAACTTTCTAACTGTTATAAAAATTATCTACAAACATATAATTTTCAAGATAGTTCTGCAAGTTGCTTGTAGGGAATTTGCTCAAAGTTGAAGTTCTAATCAAGAAGAGAATATTATTGAAAAAAGATACTTAACAATTTTTATTAATTTCAGAGTTAATTGAAAAACTAAGACATGAGAGTCAGATAGATTTAAATGAAGAAACAAGGTAACTGATGATAACTATATATTTTTATTCATTTCATATTTCTTCTGTGGTTTACTTTATTTACACATAAAAAGCTCTTCTTAAGACACTGAAAGATACTTCAAGGCATCACATTTTTAGTGGCATTCAATAGAAACATTAACGTTTTGATCAGTAACAATACACATTTTTGTTTATTTTAAAAATTAACCCAAAACTACCCAATTGTGTAGAAATATATGTTATATTTAAATATTTTATTCTATCATTCAAATATTTTAGACTAAATGAAACATATCTGCCTTTCTCGTTTTACTCCGGCCATAATCATATACTACACATTATTAATCCCTCCACGACTGCGGACACGCCGGCGTGTCAGTTAACAGTAGATTTCTTAGAATTTTGATTAATTTCTTAGAAATTTACCTGTTAAGTAAATTATGAATATTTAAAATTTATTAACATTACACTTGTCTATACTTATTTAAAATATTACATTAATATATTATGCATTTATTTATTTTAACAATTTTTTGTTTCAATTGTTCACTTTTGTACAAAAAGCGACTGAAGGACCATCCCAATATGCTTGCAACAAACCTAACTTGCTTAAACTACATACTTATAAAGGCTGTAAAGAAAGGACATAATATAATAAATTCATCAAAAAAAGATGTAGGCTAGATCACATCTCTTATGTCTTCAACTAGAAGACACTTAATGACAATCAAAACCACACAAAAAAATCTGCTGATACAATGTGAACACAAAAACTTAAAAGTATCAACATTAATTGCCTGATATGAAAGAACTACCCACAAATAAACCAAAATAGCAACTGTTTTGTGCTAGATTTTAAAAATCTTTTATGAATTTCAGCACAAATAAAGGTGAAAATGTGGAGGTAACTTATGAAAATTGCGAGGAAAATTATGAAACCACTGAAGTTGAAGAACAGACTGACTACATTTTTGAGGAAGAAGTGGAACATCAAGAAGAAACTGTTACACATTTTAATAGTAAAGAAGGTAATTAATAGCATTATTTTTTAAGGACCACTATATGATGGGAATCCTGCCTCGAAGATTTGAATATCCAGGGTCTGCCTTCACTTATAATAACTTGTCTTAAGTGAAGCAATTTGGTTCATGAATTTCCTTAAAAAGTTATTTTAGAAATCTGTAAATATTGATATTGGCTGTATGTGTGTAAACAGAACTTGTGAATACCTTTCAATGGTAATCTTTTATCTCAAAATCAAGACATTACCTCCAATTTCTATCGAAAAAATGTGAAGGCATCTTGTTTGTACAAGTTGAGATTAATATCACAAGTGAAAACTTGTACATAATATAATTAATTTCTTGCGAATAGTATCCTACTAATATTATAAATATAAATTTGACAGTTTGTGAGTTTGGATGGATGTATGTTTGTTACTCTTTCACGCCAGAACGGCTGAACGAATCTGGATAAAATTTGACAGAGATACATTATAGTCTGGAATAAATAGCACATAGGTCATTTATCATCCCGGAAAAATGTACAGTTCCCGTGGGATAGATTTGTTTTTGTCTAGGGACGAACCCAAAGCGAAATGGGGGTGAATAGCTAGCTAGTATCACATAATAATAGACTCACTTTTAATGTTGGTTTGATACCATACATATAAAAAACATTATTATGCAGGTGTATAATAAAAATCGCGTGGCGTGTATTGCACGTTATATTATTGTATGATTTCTGACTTCATAGTCCATAACGTACAGTAACGTCCCACGTAAATGAGGCTTAAATGAATAAATAAATGAATAAATGTGACAGCTTCCATGTGTCATAGGAGGCCTATATTTATAATATTAGGAGGCCTATATCAGTAGTCGGAATTTAATAGGCTGAAAGTGAGACTGCACTTTTATTTGGAGAATGTTAGTAATGTCCTGATGGATTTTTATAAAGTTAGCAAACAAGATGTGTCCTACACCATATTGTATTGTATGTACAATGACATATTTACAATGATGATGATGTTCTCCTAGCCGATTCCGGCCACGGCGGCCAATCTCAATGAGATTAGTCAACTGCGCAGGAGATATTATAGTGCTCAAGTGTACGCGCAGACACAAGTGCACTCTCTATTCCTATCATTCTCATACTCCGGTGGGACGACCACCGGAGTATGAGAGTGATAGGAATAGAGGCACACCTCCTCCTTCCCAACTTCCCAACTCCGGGCTGTTACTGAGACTTACTATACAGGAAGACTCAATAACTAAACTTGGCCCGACCAGGGACTCGAACCCAGGACCTCCGGGTGTGCAGCTGTACATGCTAGCCACTACACCACCGAGGCAGTTTAAATAATTTACAATGTTTTATGATGAAGAGTTTTTTCGTCTGGACTATCAAAATATCTCTAGAACTATCAATCTTGTTTAAAAAAATCATTTTGCAATATAGTTTACATAACATAATATATAATCATATTTATATTAATAACTACTACAACAGCTGTTCCATGGGAAACCCCTAAAGGACCATTCATTAATTACGTAAGGGTTTTCGCCAGGGTGAGGGGGAGGTTAAGAAAATCTAGACATGCCCTTACCTGGGGGAGGAGGGGGGTAAAACCCATATTCATACTAATATTATAAATGTGAAAGTCTGTTTGTTTGTTTGTCCTTCTTTCACGTCGAAACGGAGTGACGGATTGGCGTTATTTTTTGTGTGGAGATAGTTGGAGGGCTGGAGAGTGACATAGGCTACTTTTTACCGCGCGAGATTATCTAATTCCCACGGGAAAACTCGTTACAATATAATCCAAAAAAAATATGATAAGAATTACTTGACACTTGGTATATTTATTGCTTTTCAATAAAAATAAATACGTGTTTTAGCATTTTTCGAAATTCATCCTTTAGGGGGGCAAGGGGATGAAAATTTGTATGAACTACCTTTTTAGAGATTTTTGTAGTTTTAGCGCGAGTGCAACGAGTTCTGCTAGTATTTTAATATTTTACAAGTCGAAATTTTTTATTATAAAAAATCTATTTCTATGTCGGATGCTGAATGATTTTCTTCATTCCGTAATGTGCACTTCGATTCACGTCTTATTTTACAATTTTAAATTGTTTATTAAAATTTTAAAATCTCAAATATGTTCATTTTCATCCATTTTAAATGTTATTAATAATAATTATAGTGAAATCTTCCCGCGTATTTCCAATCTGATCCTTTTCTAACAACGTTTTTTACGTAAATAATGAATGACCCCTAATACTGGAAAAATATATATAGTAATTTCCTATAAATATATGTTCCATTAACTTGATTTATACTTTTTATTTTTAACTTGATTTATACTAATATTTTCTTAGATTTACGCGAATGTTTGACATTATTAAATAAAACTATCTTTTCGGATTATTTCGCGGATTTATTTTGATTTTTGGTTCCCCAAACCAAACCAAAAATCAAAATAAATCCGCGAAATAATCCGAAAAGATAGTTTTATTTAATTGATTTATACTATTTATTTGTAAATTTTTAGAAGATAGTGACAATGATAATGGTCACCTGTCATCGAAACATTTCCCGCATGATTATGTAAAGCTGAACTCTGTTAGAGACACATCATACAGGAGAGAAGGTGAAGCTCTTAGGATAAAAACTAAATTTTCATTTAAAGGTAAGCATTATGTAACATAATTAATTTTATTTTATTGAATGGGATCCTCAATGGGATGACACGTCGAAAACAGGACATTTTATAATCCAATATCTAGGGCTAAAGAAAATTCCTAAAAGGGAACAAGTTCAAATCGATACATGCAGCGTCATCTATTGACAGCTTTTTGAACTAATTTTTCTTTGTTCATGATGAGACCCCATGATGTCACCAAGAACAATGGTCTCCATTAAACTTAAGTCAATGATGAATCCAAATTATAGTATACTGTAAAAGCTTATGTTTTGAAACAATCACTTTTTTTCTTCCAGCCACGAAATTAAATGTGTTGAAATGAATTATGATTATGATGATAATGGATTATTATAGTGGCGTACTTATATATGATTTACTGTTAAATATTTCAGACATTCCACCAGAAATAGTGTTAGGCAGAACAGTGCATGGAAAAAAGTTAGTTGCGAGTGTGAAAACAGAGAAACAAAACCTTAGAAGTGCGCTCACTAACAAAGCTGTGGGTGAAAAGTTCCAGAGAGTTTCCGATGAGGATTCTGTAGAACACCTAAAAAGTATGTATATTATATATTTATATCTCACGAGAACCACTTAAATTCTCTATTCCATAAAATATTTTCTTTGTACTCCATTAAAAAAGGATAATAATAGGGATTAAAGTATGAAATTGCCGATTTGTACTGAAAAATAATTGAAATTCGTTTTGTTTTAATTTAACATATTTATTTAATCAAAATAATTACCATTTTTTATCTATACATTGCTGCCATGTAATAGGAAGGTAATTTATGCTTTTGCGATAGAACTCTGATGATTTAGATTCGACGAACTGTGTGAAAGCATTTTGTACTGCCTCCTGAAAGGAAAACTTTTTATCACGTAGAAAATTGTCCAAATCACGAAAAAAAGGGTAGTGCGTTGGAGCAAGGTCTGGCGAACACGGAGGGTGACGAATGGTTTCTAATTGCAGTTCCTGTAGAGTTAAAACGGTTTCTCGTGCTGTATGAGGTTTCGCGTTATCATAGAGCAATAATGGCGAAGATCGATTCATAAGTCGGGGCTATTTCAATGCTAGTTTTGCTATCATTGTTCGGAGTTTGACACAGCAGACATCTGCCGTTATTGCTTGATCAGATCGGAGAAAGCTATAGTGAATAACACCATGCTGAGACCACCAAACAGTTACCATTACCTTTTTATAAGATTTGCTGTAGGAAACTGTTGCGGCGTTTGACCTGGGGTCAGCCATTGCATTTTTCGCTTACGGTAATCGTAATGAAACCACTTTTCATCACATGTCACAATTCGATCCAATATTCCTTCATTTCTGTATCGATTCAACAAGGCAACACAAGTTTCAACACGCGTTTCTTTCTTCAAATCAGTCAAATGATGAGGCACCCATTTTTCATATTTTTAATTTTATTGATTTGACGGAAATGAGTCAATATTGTTGGTAAGGTAACTTTAAACCATGCCGCTAATTCCTGGGTAGTTTGGCTCGGATCGGCTTTCACCATCTCTTTCAATTCATTGTTATTCACCTGTGTGGGCAGTCTTCCACGTGGTTCGTTCTTCAAATCAAAGTTTCCATCACGAAAGCGTTTAAACCAAAGTCGCACGGCGCGTTCATTAGCAGCCCCCTCTCCAAACGCAACATTGGTTTTGCGAGCTGTTTCTGCCGCGTTAATTCCGCGTCGGAACTTGTATTCAAAAATCACTCGAATTTTCGAAGTATCCATCTTTCTTGTCTAAGCTGAATAAAAAAAAATAACAGAAAGTCGATAATCGAATGTTGCACATTTTTTAAAAGAAGAACTCTACATAGGTACCATGTGAAAAAAGTTTCACTCAAAAATCTCAAACCATGAAATCCACATGTCAATTCGAAGTACCTATTACAATAAAAGGGCAATTTCATACTTTAACCCCTATTATTTTACCTTTTGGCAAAGTAAGTATTCAGCTCTTTTGAATGTTCCACTGCTGGGCACGGGGGCCTCCCTTCAATACGAGGGGGATCAGGTCGTCACATGTCTTTTGAAAACTTGTTAGATTCTCTCAGACATGCAGGTTTCCTCACGATGTTTTCTTTTACCGTAAAGATAAGTAGTAATCGTGTTGGAAATGATGCGCACATGAAAATATCAGAGGTGCGAGACCTGGGATTTGAACCCACTTCACTCGGTTTCCCAAGCAAGCGTGTTACCACTGTATGGAAGAGTATGACTTTTATTTGAAAAAATATTTTTTTATTTATTTTAGATGACACAGGTCTAGATGATGCTAAGTTTGATAGTTTGCTACAAGAAAATCTGTGGAGTAATGCTGATAGATGTTCCAAGAAGGACGTGACTGCCGCAGAGATTGTTGTGGAACAACTGTTAAGGGTTCCAGCTTTTAAACCTACTATTTTGGAAAGAAGATTGCTTGTTACTAAGGTATTTTATTTATTGCATACCTTCAACTGTCTTAATGCGAATAAAATGAATTACATTTTGTGTGATGATAATGTGTGAGATTTAAATGAGCTCAAACTTCAAAGGTTTCACTAGAAACCATTCAAGAATACCACTTTTTAACTCCTGGCTCCATCATCATCAGATCAAGTTGATGGTATTTTATTATCACACAAAATTCACATAATTACAAAGTTTCAATTATTAGTGCCATTAATATGACCATATCGAGTAGGTTAAAATTGGCTTCCAAGAATTGATTACATGGCTTTAGAATAATAATTATGTATTTATTAATTGTGTTAAAAATCAAGTTTTATGATGAAATTGATGATGATGGCTATGAAAATGGCTACTTCCACTCCTTAAGTCATACTTAGGTGAATACTACCTACACTATTATTTTTATACTAACAGAACCCGCGGCTTCGCTCACGTTCAAAGTACAAAAAAAAGACAATTTTTACTCTTCCCTTTACAATAATGTATAGAAGTCTGCCCGATTTGTTGACATTTATGATTACTGCTTCGCTCCTTAGATAGTAGCATGATGATACATAGCCTTCCTCAATAAATGGGCTATCTAATGGAAAAAGCATTTTTCAAATCGTATAAGTAGTTCCTGAGATTAGCGTGTTCAAACAAACAAACTCTGCCTCTTTATAATATTAGTATATATAATATAATCCAGTATGTTATTTTAAAAAAATCATAAATTATACATGCATAGTAAGTAAACCAATTTTATATCACTTCTATACTTTCTTAGATTTACGCGAATAATTGACATTTTAAATAAAACTTATCTTTTCGGATTTTATCGCAAATTTATTTAGATTTTTGGTTCCCGACGTATCGAATGCTTTACAGCAATCATGGTCACGGGAGAGACTCCCTCTCTAATAAACTGCGAAAAAATCTGAAAAGATAGTTTTAGTTACACTTGAACTCCACTCCATAATTCACTACATAACTTTAAATTGTTTTCAGGTGGTGATTGAAGAACACAAAACAAACCAATTGTATACAGAGACGGTGCCGACGTTAGTGACGGGCCGCGTCATTAGAAACGATAATAAGTTGAATTTTGTGTACATACCAGATTTATTGCGACGATCACTTAGAAATGTTCAAGGTTAACATGCCTCTAGTAACCTATTTTTTAACATTAGGAAATGCATTCAAACATACTACCTAAATAAATACAGATGGTTAAGTGGAGACTCATTGAATAGAAAAAACAGTACTCAATACCTATTAAAACCAAACAGAACTTTCCCAAATTCCCAGTCTTATTAGGGCGCTGTGCCATATTCACATCATGTATCGCGACATCCTGACAATTACCATAATACTGTGTAATATGTAGAATTTTTTTCTACAAATATGTAAAATTTAAAACTTAACGATAGATCTAAGAATAGGTTCTTAGGCAATACTCCATTTATTCCCTGGGAATATAACAAGAAAACTATTTTCGAAAATTAAACCTTTAGGCGTAGATGAAAGCGATGTACAAAAAACTGTAATAACAATGTTAATAAATGAATAATCTTTCTAGGTAGTAGAAAAGTCAATGAAGACAACTACTTACACATACACATTCGTGAAATGAAAGGAATTGATGGCATCACTAGAATTTCGATTACACTAAACAAGCGAAGTGAGTAGAGTAAAATAATTTACACTAGATCAGTGGTTCCCAATTTTTTTTTTGGTCACGGAACCCTAATTGCTCATAACTCTTAATGGATCCTCATTTTGATAATAACTAAACTGATTGTGTTGTAATTATAATTCTTTCTTGTTTGACTTGAAAGAACAAATCATAAATGAAAAATGTTAATACTTATAATATTATTTTACCGAAATTTAATATTTATTGTACCATATTTTTAATTATAATAGCACTAAAGTTAGGCTTCATGTCTGACAACATTTTATTTAACTTTAGAGCAGAACTCGGAACCTCTGTAAGCCTTACCTTGTACCCTTGGGTATCACGGACCACTATTTGGGAACCACTGCACTAGATCATATAACCGTTTTTATTAATATTTTTGTTTTATGTTTTAATTCATAAAACGTCGCTTATTTATAAATTAAATCAGTTCTTAATAAAGTGTTTCTATGAATTCTTCAGATATTCCATTGAATTCTTTGGCCGACAATGCAAGGAATAAACAAAATATGGTTTTCGCGTGCAGCGCCTGCGCGGCCGTCTACAAGACGGAGGAAGGCCTTAAATTACATCAAGAGGTAATATCATTATTTTTTTTATATTATCATAATTATAATTAGTTATTTTATTTTAATGATTTCTACAAAAAAAACTGCATCTACCTGACAAAAGTAATTCTTTTTTATATGGAACTGTTTAATTAAACAGCTGTTAAAAGTAGCATAACTAAAATTGTTACTAGCCATTTTTCCAGTTTTGGATGTGTTATAATAATTGAATTTGCCTTTTCAGACTGAGTGTATGGAAATAGATGATCTTTTAACAATTGATGCGGATAATACAAGTAATAGCTATAGTGTAGTACAAACTGGTAAAGATAAACAATATATGTGTAATCAATGTCATGTGAGTATAATTAATGAGCAATATATTTCTGTTATAGTTAAAAAGTAAAGTTGAAATATTTTGGAAACACTTATTATCTATACTAATATTAGAGGCAGAGTTTGTTTATTTGAACGTGCTAATCTCTAGAACTACGAATCGGATTAGAAAAATTCTTTTGCATTAAATAGCCTGTTTATTGATGAAAGCTATAAGCTTATTATATATCATCCCGGAAAAATGTACGGTTCCCAAGAGATAGATTTGTTTTAGTCTAGGAACCCGAAGCAAGGGCGAGTCGCTAGTATTTTTATGTATCTAATTGTGTAATTTTTGTTTCAGTCCATATTTACAAAGTTAAGCAATTGCCAAAAACATATTAAAACTCATTTTAATCAAGATAATGTAACTGATAGTGAAGAGACAGGAAATAAAAAACCTGAGGGAATTTTTAAGTGTAAAATGTGTCCTGGTACATATTTGCATGCTGCAACACTATCAAAACATATTGTAACCAAACATATAAAGATTAAAGCTAAATAAAGTATTGGCATCCATGTAAAATGCATTTTTATTTTTAAGTCTACATATAAATATGCAGAAATTACCCAGTTATATAATATTTTATACATAAATTTTTATTCACAAATATCACACTCATATAAAGTAAATGTTATAATTCAAATTATTATACAGTTTCTAATTCAATTCAAATTATTATACAGTTTCTACTTCGAAAGATACACAAGAAAATTGGATAAAAAAGTACAAAACAAAAAAATCACATCCTCTTGTATGTAATACAAAATCTAAAACATATCATTTGAAAATATATTGTCCAGATCGTCTAAATCGAAATTTTCTTGAAATGCTTCATCAGGAGGACAATTTTCTGAAACAATATTTGGTATAATTATTAATAATTTATATTATTAGGTTTTTTTATTGTATTTTCTATGCAGGAAGAAAAAAGGTTTCTAATGACATTTAAAAATTGCACATACCAGTTCTATCTATTCTAATGATGCTATATTCTTCTTCATTGAATTTGCTATACCCGTTAGGTAACACTTGTTCATCATTTATTACAGTTGAAGTATAGATTGCTGTAATGTTACTCAAAGTTATATTCAAATAATGCTTTTTGAAAGCACTTCCAGTCGTTAAAACTGTAGGTTTCCATAATACTAGAGCACAATATTCAGACACAATGTAATTTGAAAATGTGTTCCATGCATCTCTATGTAGTGTGCATTTTATAATTCCTAAAATTAAAATAAACTTACATTATAATATAATGCTAAAAGATTTGAAAATGTTGAATTATAGTATGCTTTTAAATATGTTTCAATTAAAATTATATCACATTAATAATTGAAACTTAACAATCATATATTCCTTACCTGTAGTATCTCTTAAAGTTATTAATGGATCTATAACAGATCTATCTACTGATTCAACAAATGCTGCAACTACTTGAGCTTTTTTCCTCTGTAAATTACCCGCTAGAGCCTGATGTTTGATGGCATTTATAGAATTAATTTGTCCTAAACTTTGTGTATCTTTAGTTAACCGCTTCCATAATGGTGTTTCAAATATATCACCATGTAAATAATTTTGAGTGAAATCCATATCCTAAAAAACGTAAAGTTACTCACTAAATATTTTAAGAAATAAAAATGACTAAAACAGACATGAAAACTACATAATAATAGTACCTGAGTTAGCAGCTCCATCTGACAAATGGTTTCATCTTGGTTTTGTTCAAACGAACCTGTTAATAACCCAGCCGGACCAGGAAACTTTCTCTTGCTTTTGTGGTCAAAGAATGAATTTATAATTTTTCTCTTAGTATGCTTTGCTGAAGTAACATTATCTTCTTGTACTAAATTAATTTTAGCACAAGAGGTATTTTCTTTAGAATCAGCACAAGTTTTTACTTCTTTATCAAATGGAACAATGCAACTAGTTTGTGATGTTTTGGATAATAAAGGTTTTGTAAGTAATTCTTCTTTTCTTATATTACTTTCCTTACATTCGGGATTCCTTATTTCGGGAAAATCAATTTGAGATAAAATCTAAACAAATTACAAATCGTTAATATATATATTTACAAAAACAATTAAAACTTCTAATGTAAATGTATATCGTAATAATTTTTAAACATTCTTACCTGGTCATAGTCATCTGATTCAAACATTGTTTAAAAATTAATAACAGTGCAAGATTAAATAATATATTTTACTTAAATTCTTGAAATGTATAGAAAAATTAAGATTTATATCTTCAATTATTATACATTTTTATTTGTGCTTTTCTCTATGCACCCCGTAGTAGAAAATCAGAATTCGTCTCTCAAGTCTCAAAATTCAATTCAAGAATTGAAAATAGTTTAGTGGCCATGGATCAGGATCACAAATAAATGTTCGTGGCTTTATATGATCTCAAAATTCAAATCTGAAATCTCAAGTCTCAACCATGGATGACAAATAAAGTCTCAACAGTCAACACAATATTAAAAAAAATTTACAACAGGTGACAGTAAGTGACACCAGACACTGACTGACATTAAGTTTTATTCATAGACTATAAATGGAAATTGTTAGAAATAGCTCTATTTGTGAATGTGGCTTAGATGAGGGTTCCACTGATCATATTCTCTTTAATTGTCCCAAACTGAAATATTCTCTATATGATATAATCCCTCCTCAAATTCACCGCCCAGTTAACACCAAATGTTTATTAGCCCTTGTATTTAGCCCATTTATTAAAAAACTAGTTAAATTTATAGTAGATAATAAAATTAAATTATAATATAATTCTCATTATGTACATATTTTTTCATTCTCAATCAATGTGTCATTTTTGTATTACGTAATTATTTTTCTATTGTTATAGGTTAATCTTGTAGACCGATCATTCATTAATAGTTTTAATTCCACAATAAAGTTACCAAATTTCAAAATTACCGCTCAATCTCATTCGTGTCTTCCTCACAAAACGTGACACTGGCAGAATGAACTGCGTCTGTTAACGCAACTATAAGCCATATTAAAAAAAAATGGAAATTGCTATATTAAATAAGTGAGTGCGGTCTTGATAAAATTCATTTCCATTTTTACTTTTTTTTTGAAGTTATACTTCTTTTGTCACATTTGAAATAAAATATGAGAGTAAAATTTTTACGTTGCGCGCGCACAATGACATGATGAAGTTAGCTGCATTCCTTTTAAAAACAGAGAGTTGTGACATACGGGATGAAATCTTTAGCTATTTTTCTTCTGTAACGCCAAGAAGTATAACTTTGTAGGTGCGTACATAAGTACAAACACACATTTTTTTAATATACGAAGAAAATATATATTACGAGTGAGTGAAAATATATATTATTTCGGTATTCATGCGGTATAAAATGGCTTTAAACATTCGCTAATTAAGCTTATTATTACTTTTTAGTCAGGATTGTTCTAAAAATCTATATCATGAAATTTAGTATGAAAATACTCAAAGCCACGGTTACTTTCAAAAACATGCTGTTACCTTTAGCTTTATCATGACCTCTACCTAAACTTAATCAAATAGTTAACTCGAATATGGTGAGGAAAACAAATGCTTATAAATATAGATAAATTGCTACGCTACATCTCTAAAGCCGCGCTGACACGCTCAAAGTCTGCTTTGACAAAGTAACTTTGATCAAAGTTTATTTGAATACCTGTTGACATGCTCGATGTCTGCTTTGACAAAAAGCTTTTAAACCAAGTTCTCTTTGATAAAGGTCACTTTGATTGAATGCCCGCGTCAAAGTGCGCTTTAATTGCTCGTTTACCTGATCTAAGTTGCGTTAAAGTAGTCATCAGAACTACTTTGTCATAGTAGACTTTGATCGTGTCAACGCGGCTTTACAAAGTATACACGCTTTAAAATATACGTTCAAAGGGATCTCTATGTATTTACGTCAAAAATAAATATAATATGTCAACTGTAACTATTTTTACTAATTTGAATTGCAAAATTTTCATGTTTTTATGTTAACAAAAATATAAGGATGAGTGATTTTGATTTTTTAAATCCTTTGCAAAATGTTTCGCTACGATTAACTGAGCAGCAAATAGCAGAAATTACTGAATGGTTTGATACTAATTCAAAACCTCTTTTAATTATTAATGAAGAAGAACCTATTAATGCAATTACTGTAGATAAGATAAAAGAATTTTTAGAATTAAAAAAGTTGAGTTTGTTATTCCTTCTATTCGAAGTAAAATATTATAATGTATAAGGAATATGGATTGAAATTTTTGGAATACGTAGAGGGTTCATGGGAGGACAGTGAAATTAGGTACTCTTAATTACCAACACCCAATATAATATGTTTTCTCTTTACGTTAGATATCACAGAAGAAATTTTCACTACCCTAGTTACGCAGAAATAATGATTGAAGTAGAAAAATTAAAGGCAGGAATAACTAGAATGCTTACAAAAGAACAATTTATATACATGCTAGACAAATGGGTAATTGAAGCTGATATTAAACATGAAATTAAGTTAGCCTTTAAGGTATGCGTTTGTAGTTTATTTTCCTTATGTTTTTAAATATTAATTATTACTCAGTTATTTCAATATATTTAAGATTTGATTTTGGGAACATATTATTTTTTATTTTTAAAACGAATTTGGCATAGGTTTTCGACACTGAAAAACGAAGTTTCTTAGATATAGATAACGTCAAAGTAATAGTTACAACGTATGCAGACGTTTTTGATGAACAAGAGACTCGAGAGCTATTACGTGATGCAAATGTAAAAGGAGATTGTAATGTCTTCTATGAAGATTTTGTAGAAAGCTTGTTTAGTGTTGCACCTGAATTATATCAGTTGAAGGTAAGAATAATGAAATAACAATACTATTTTTAAACCCACAACAAGGTACGAAGAATTTTATAAGTTTAACTATGTCTGTCTATGGCATCGTAGCTTTCAAAAGAATAAGTTTTAAACATATCTTACTTACTTTTAACTTACGAGTATTAAGATATCATTTAATGAGCATTTATAATAAAAAGATATATAATTTGCTAGACTGAATATTTATATGAGGACCCCAACGACGATCCTTCTGTACCTCCTGTAGTAACAGCGGAAGAAGAAATATCTCAACCTCTTGCGCCACCCGAACCAGTACCTGATAGGAAAGACAATCAAAAGAAAAAAAAATAACATGAATAAAGCATTTATATTTTACGCAGTTGTTTTTTTACTTATAAATCAATATTTTTCCTTTTGTTATAAATACCTAGTAGGTATTTTATTGTGAACACATTACACAAATAAAGGAATTTATTCTTACATTCTTAGACTTTATAATGATAAGAATTGTTTTGAATTATAAAAAACTGCGTTTATGGCAAACTTAGGGCGGCATTTTTTACTATGCCCAATTACATGCCTCATCGAAGATTGCTCACGTCACTCCAATAGGGGTAACATTTCTCCTTGCCTTTTTCTTCCTTCTGGCAGAGCATGACAATGATTTGCACATGCTCCAAGTCCATCCACACCATGCGATAAAAGTCGTAACACGATTGCCGGGATGGGGCTTGTCCGCAGATAAACTTTTTGCTTTTTTAAACTTTTTGAAGCCATTTATATAATTGTCGTTTTATTATTAAAACTAGTTCAGTTTTTACGTAAAACTAAAAATTACGAAATGAAGAACTTTAATTAAAAAAATTAAACCGATTTAAAAAAAAACTCAAAAGTAAAAATTAACTGAACGGGGGTTTTCATTTACTATAGATACGGGATACCTAATCAGTAATCACTAATCAGATATTTTCAAAGTCTGTGACAGCCGACAATGCTTTAAAATATAAATATTTAATAGGTAAATATGACAAGATAAGAAATCTGTAAAAAGTTATATTTTTACCCGACTGCGCGACGTAAAGAAGGGTAATGTGTTTATCAGCCTATATAATATGTATGTATGTGCGTGGGCTGATTTTGATAAATGACACGTTGTTCGATTCGTATTACGGCGCAAATGTGGTAGAAAGGATAAAAAACTGGAAAAATCAAAATGACCCATTTTATACTTCATAATGTGAAAAAGAAAAAAAATGTAAATCGACCAACTATGTCAAGTGGGGTATCGTTAAATAGGTATTTAAAAATCATTTTTAGGCTTTTTTATTTTTTTTTTCATTTTTAATAACAGTTTAGGATATATAATGATTTAAATTTGGTTAACAACCATTCTCGTTAATTTTCCTACTTTTTGTTCTTTTCTTAATCAGACTCAGTGTTGCTGCTGTATAAATTATATACAAATGTAAAATGACAAGACATGCATGACATGTCAACTTCGGATATCCAGATAATGTGTAGGCATTTCATTGTCGAAAACATTTTTATCTTACAATTTCTTAATTATTCTTTTTGTGTTTGTTTTTGTTTATAAGCACATTTATGTAGATTTACGTATATACTATTTATTAGTAACTGATTCTATTGCTTTTTTCTTACAATAAATTAAAGCAATGGATTTAGAAGATAATGCATTGGGCTTGACCCAAGAACAAACTGATAAAATACTTCAATTTCAAGATTTAACAGGCATTGAGGATATGTCGATATGCAGAGATGTTTTACAAAGACATCAATGGGATTTAGAGGTAATTTTAACACTTTTTATGTGTACGAATAAGGAGCTCGTTTATAGGTCAACACAGTTTGTTTTATATATAAAACAGTACTTATTTTACAAAAATGCAACATATTCAACAAACGTGTATGTTTAGTTTGTTAATATTTTAATATATTTAAATTCTTTCTAGGTTGCCATACAAGAACAACTAAATATTAGGGAAGGACGACCATCCGTATTTGCAACAGAAGCGCGAGCACCTCCAGTAGTACACGATCATATAGCTCAACAAGTATTCACAGATGATGCCCCAGAAGGCCCTGTAGGCATGCGAGGGCTTTTACGTTATGTAGTAAACTTAGTTGTGTCAGTTTGTTATAGTACAATATCTTCTGTTTTAAACTTATTATTAAGTTTTATGAGGAATGATGAGAGAAGACGTAAGTATTAATATATCGCGATTTTTATAATTTTGTATGTATTTGATATATTATATAGAAGTTTTTATAACAATTTTAGTATTATTTGTGTATTATAGTCAATTGGGAATAATTTTTTTATTGTATTTTTTAATAAGATTGTTTTAATTTATTTTAAATGTTGATTTCTTTTTTTTTAGTTGTGACAGATCCACTTGGTGATGTAATGAGCTTTATCAACAGTTACACTTCCCGATATAATCCCCACCCAGTATTCTACCAGGGCACTTATGCTCAAGCTCTTAATGATGCTAAAAATGAACTAAGATTCCTCATTGTGTACCTTCATTCAGAATCGGCCACTGAAACACAAAACTTTTGCAGGTTTGTTGCTTACTTTTTCATCTCAGGTTTGAATGTTTTAAGACATTGTTATTCTTACCATAAAAGTTGATATGTTTACAATTATTTCCCTAGAAGAGAAAATTTGCTTTCTAATTTTTTTACTTTCTAATTTGAAATCTATGTTTTGTTATGACCATAGAAATATGGGGTTGTTAATTATTATTTACATCTTAGTAATTGTTTATTTACAAAGCAAAAAAATATATATATTTGCAAATTGTCCATTTTTGAGATATTGAATTTTGAAATGATAAAAATTCAGTATCCCTTTTGGAAAGATATCTTAACAGTATCCTAGGTTTAAAGGTTTCAACAATATCCTAACCACTAGATGATCTTGGCAAAACACATACATTAAATATATTGTTTTTATTGATTGATATAAAAAATATATATTTCTTAGATATAAATTGCATTGTCTATCTGTGATTGTCAAATAATTCAAAAATTCTAATTCAGTCAGTAAAACAGACAAATTATAGTTAACTTATTATTAAATTCCATATAGAGCTTAACTCTATATGGAATAATGTAATACATTATAAAATCATTTTTTTGTATGAACTTTCTTTCTAATCTCGCAGCAAACTTTTGTATATTCTATTTTGACCTGACAAAATAAACAAAAACATTAATAATTAATGAGGTTTACTAGTTGTTATTAATAATGGCTTTTTCACTGATAGCCATCAGGCATAGAAGATGTAACAGTGCACTAATTTGTGCATGAATACAACTATATTGTCTTTTAACTTTTAAAGTCCTGTGGCACTGCAATTTAAACACATTATCAGGTACTATTGAGAATTTCTTGATAGAAAAATGGCCGTAATACATATTAGCCACCACATCTGGATGGGATGGGATATAATGGGATTATCTCAAATATAAATATTTTTTTGTTTATAATTGTTCTAGGTCAACATTATCAGATCCAGAAGTAATACAATTCATAAATACACATGCCCTATTCTGGGGCTGTTCCGTTGAGACTTCAGAGGGTTGGCGGGTAGCTCAATCAGTGAATGGGCGTAGATATCCTCTATTGTGTGTAGTTTGTGTACGTGATCACCGCATGACGGTGGTAGCTAAAAGTGAAGGTTCCTGTGCCCCACAACAGTTGGTGCAGAGACTGCGGGCAGTTGTGACAGAGAATGAGCCACATTTGGCTGCTGCGAGGGCAGACAGGTGAGAACTTTTCAAATATATACATTTTATCTATAAAACAATTGTTATTTCAATGTGTAGCAAACCAAAAGTTAGGCAAACCAAACTAACAAAAATGCAATTGTTAAAAAATATCTAAATAATATCTAGTTGATGATTTGCAAATGTGATTGTCTTAATCTTCTCGTTTGCCCTTTAGCTACTAAGGATACTTCCAGTTGATTCAACAAAAATAAATTGCAATAGTTTTATAAGTTTATTTTTGCACATAGTGAGTGTAGAGAAATATGTCATTTCTTTCAGAAACTGTATGAGAATCGGATTGGATTACACTTTTTATTAATCTTTTTTATGCAATTTAATACAAAATAAATTACAAGCAGACAAAATATAGTTTATTTTATATAACTCATTCCTAAGTAATTAACCTCTTAAAATAATTTGGTTCATCAGAATGTTAATTTCTTTTCATTGTTATGCAGTTGCATTATTATTAATAAATTGATTATTTATGATTCACTAGTGCTATTATTAATATTAAAATAATTTTCTTTTTATTATTGTTTATATAACGACTGGTGATTAGATTATTTATTATATAATGTTAACTTATGCTTCATTCTGGTTCAGGATCCCTAGCGGGATGGGAGGTACACATAGTCCCTAGGTGCTTAACAGTTGCCTATGTGTTACTTCTGTATACTAATCTTCATGTATATCTAAAGCATAGTTTATACTCCAGCGAGATTTATACCCCTGTTGTAACCCAACCCATGCAGCTGCTAATTCCCATTGCCATAATAGCTTTATTTAATTCAGTTAGCTAAGGGCTGTTTCCTCGTTAATTTTTGTTCTATTGTTGTGGAGGAGTAACATAAATACACATACGAACAGACATATTTATACATACATATGTATTCGCAAAAATAATAGTAGTCCAATTAAATTATAAAATACCATCGATAAACTCATATAAAACTTATACATATAGAGTAGAGCGTGAAGTGACCGCGCGGCTCCGCGCGGCGCAGGACGAGGCGTACGCAGAGTCGCTAGCGGCGGACCAGGAGAAGGAGCGGCGGCGGGCGGCGGCGCGCGCCGCGAGCGACCGCCTGCGGCAGGACCACCTGCAGCGGCAAGCGCTGGAGGAGCAGCACCGCCAGGACGTATGTATTTTCTTATGTATTCTCGACGACACGTTTGGCTCACTTTGTACTGACCCCACTTGCTGTGCCAGCGGTCGCGGGTTCGAATCCCGCTGAGGGCATTCATTTGTGTGATGAGCACGAATGTTTGTACTCCAGTCATGGGTGTTTATATTTATAATGTGTATGTATTTAAAGTTATATATGTATAGTCTGTTAGTAGACGCATGACGTTCAGTAAAAATTGTAATAATTTAATGCTGAATAAAATATTTTGAATTTTGTAGTGTATCGACTAACTGGTAACCATAACACAAGTCTCGTAGCTTAACATGGAACTAGATGGTGCTGTGTTAATGTCCCAACATAGTTAATTAAAAATTATTTATTTTGTGAAGTGAAACTTCCTTAGAATGGTTGTGATTTGAAACTCGATGAAACGAAGATGCGTCACTAAAAAGAGTAAACATATAGGATTAAGCCGGCGAGAGACTGAGATAGAATACATTGCCATGTTGCCATGGTAACCGTTGTTATTGTCAGATAAACATATAGTATTATATTCTTTCCGTATACGATATTCTATAAATATTTATTGATTTGTTTTAATTTAATTGCGATATTTGCCAAAGAAGTTTACTTCAACTTATCTAAAGATTAAACGCACACTTTTTTTATAGTAGTGCCTCATTGGTCTAGGCTAACATGTAAGGTTACGTATTGTGAGGTCCTGACCACCTGCACAAGCAGATGCTGGAGAAACTACATCATGATATATTTACTATCACAATACAGATTTTACGTCATACATAAAAGAAATATCGGACAAGTGCGAGTCTGACTCGCACTTTGAGAGTTCCGTAACATACACATTAAAATAAATATTATAGATTCTACGATAAAGAATATGTTAGTTGAAAACTGTGTTATAGCCGATAACACCTACCCATTATACCCACCTCTGAGAAATATTTATATTAATTTAATATTAGTTCAATCAAAGAGGTAGCACAGTAATATTCAGACATCATTTAAAAAAAGATGTGTGTGTATGTAAATTTTTAGTTGGTTTTGTAATTTGTTATATAATTATATTTATTCGAATGTTGTGTACACATATGTATAATTGGACAGCAAAATGATATTTTAGTTTTAAATACGTAGTTGTATTTTTCAACCGACTTCAAAAAGGAGGAGGTTCTCAATTCGACTGTATTTTTTTTTATGTTTGTTACCTCAGAACTCCGTCATTTATTGATTGTATACTTCCAGATTGGTCCCATTTAAATTTCAAAAAAAAAAAAAAATACCACCCCTAAGGGTGGAAAATAGCTAATGATGAATTTAACCTACTTCTAATTGTCATATTGACTTGAAACTTTGCAAGTGTTTCTATTTCCGTTGATAGTACAGTGGTTCGGTATTGTTGACCTGATCTGATGGTAAGGCCAGAAGGTGGATAGGTGGAACTCTTCAACGGCTAATAGTAGATGCTTTGAGTTTGGGCTTATTTTGTTTGATTTGACAAGCCTAACACGTTAGAATTCTTACTTTGCTACTACTATCTACACTAAAAAGGGAAAAATAAAAACTTTTTAATAAAAAAATAAAAACCGACTTCAAACAAAAGCACTAAAAAGTAAAAAATAACTGATTGGTAGTTTTCATTTACTATACATACCTAATCAAATATTTTCGAAGTCGGTGTGCTTTGGCTAAGTAATTAAAGCCTACCTATTAAATACATACCTAATCAAATATTTTCGGAATCGGTGCCAGCCCATACAAAGCAAAGCACACCGACTTCGAAAATATTTGATTAGGTATGTATAGTAAATGAAAACTACCAATCAGTTATTTTTTACTTTTTAGTGCTTTTGTTTGAAGTCGGTTTTTATTGTTTTATTATTTTATTTCTCTGTTTATTTGGCTAAAAAAATTAAATAAAATCATCATCAATCATGTCGACAAATAATTTTAATAGTTTAAAAATGAGAGTGGCTCGTAAGGTCATCGTTTACTGCGTTATGCGAACGATATTCCTAGTGCCGTTAGGGTCATAGGAGGCGGTGGCGGCCCAGCGGTAACGCGCTCGCTTAGGAATCAGAGTGAAGGGGGTTCAAATCGCAGTTCTCGTATGTAAAATGCTCAATACATGTGTGTTGATCGCAGGTGATAGCGGCGCGCGCGGCGACGGCGGCGCGCCTGCCGCCCGAGCCGGCGCCGGGCGCGGCCGCCGCGGCGCTGCTGCTGCGCCTGCCCGGCGGCGAGCGCCTCACGCGCCGCTTCCTGCTCGAACACACCACGCAGGTATGCTCGGCTCCGACACTTTACACTCTCACATTCTACAGTTGTACGCTTCGTCAGTTCATATCGCATCACTAAATATTTTTATATAGATAACTAGCATCGCCCGCGGCTCCGCCCGCGTTCAGATGACCAAAAACCAAATTCTTAGGTTTTACATATTAGTATACTCTTACATTGCAGTTTTCGTATTTTTTCTCAGAAATGAGATATTTTCCCGCGGTAAAAAGTATCCTATATGTCGACCCGAATAACCAGCTATCACCATACCAAATTTCACCAAAATCCCTCCAGTGGTTTTCTCGTGTTGCGGTAACAGACAGACAGACAGACAAAAATTCTAAAAACTATAGATTCGGACTCTGTATCGATAATAATGTCTATTTCAATTAGATTTTCCAAAAAATATTTAATGTACAGATTCGACTTAGTTACAATTTTATTATATGTATAGATACTTCATACAAACGTGCAATTACATACAGACATATACTATACAGTCTACATGTACATAGTCCGTCGCCTTAATGCTAATTTGTTCAAACGACCAATACTTATTGTACTTTACAGTAGAGAGTTATTTATTCCATTTTAAAAATAAATCTTTAATTCTAAGATTTATATACATTGTACATGTATAGGTAAAATACGTTTTTCGACTTTTTTTTTTTTTTTTTTTAAGTAAAATATGTCTTTAATATCAATAGAATTTACATTTAAAAATCAGTAATTCTGTATTAAAATTAAATCTCTTTCGGAAAATTGGCCGTTTGGACAAATAAACACTGAGACAACGAGTCGCCTAACGAAGGCGTTTAGACAGGGCCGGGTAATACTTTCATAATGGAGAAGTGTCATGATGTTGTTACGCAATTGCATTAAAATATAGATCAAAACTAATAAATCTGTGAAAAAATCTATCAATAAATGACTAAGAAATTAATTGTTTAAATATTTTAACGCACAATGACTGCGGTCTCTCACTCGAGTTAGGTAAAATGACGTCACCGTCGTTATACCTAACTGAGATCGTCGCACCACAAAATATCACTCAATAGCTCGATTGTTTCTAAGTCGCACGTTCTCGTGCTGTTCCTAATTATTTTACGAACAACTGCTTGTTTTTAATTTATTGGTAGTATTATTTTTTTAATGTATTCCGGTCGTCACGAAATTATTCTCGCAAGCGCAACTTTAGAGTTTCATAACTTTTTCATTTGTTGAGATATTTCAATAATTCTTTCATATTTTCTTATATTTCATACTTACACGTATACGTACATTATTATGATTAATTCATAAAAAAAAATTTGGAAACTTCTCCATTATTTTTAAACAGTTTCAAGGATATAACTGTGAAGAGGAACAATCTGAAAACGGCCACAATAAAAATGGTTATTGCATGATGTTATTTGTTACAGGATCTCTATGACTTCGTGTTCAGCCACCCGCAAGCTCCGGAGGAGTTCGAGATCACGACCAACTTCCCGAAGCGCACCGTCGCGCGCGGCGCCGCCAGCCTGCGCCGCGCCGGGCTCAAGGACCGAGACGTGCTCTTCGTCAACGATATCAACGCGTAGATACAACTAACTTTACTCATGCCGATAAATTGATTGCCCTGTTAAAAAACTCCAATAGAATCCCATCAAAAGCGACGAAAGCCACATAGAAACTAATAAATATTTATAGGTTTCTATGTGGCTTTTCTCGCTTTTGATGGGATCCTATTGGAGTTTTTAAATAGGGTGGATTATGAATTAATTTACTCTAAGGTTCGTTTTGTATCTGTTGTATAGGACGCGTCATGTAACTTGGATCCGCGTTTTAGGGTTGATATTGAATGTATGTATGTAATGTATAGTTGTTAGTGATATGGCAAATTATTTGGTAACGTATTTGAAAAAATAAATGTTCACGTCATATAATAATTTTAAAAAGACAAATAATTTTAATTTATATTGTTATAGAGTAAAGGAAGTTTTTGTTTTCAAATATGTAGTAATTTTTAATTTATGAGTTTATATGTAATTTTTAAATCAATATATACTTTAGTTTCTTCGGTAATATTAAAATTTTAAACACAATTTTGGTTCAATTTATTTGATTCGTTCTTGCGTTTGTATGAGATGCAATATTAAAAAACTCCAATAGAATCTCATCAAAAGCGACAAAAGCTACATAGAAACTAATAAATATTTATTGGTTTCTATGTGGTTTTTATTGATTTCTATGTGGCTTTTGTCGCTTTGGATGAGATCCTATTGGGAGTTTTTGAATAAGGTGGCAATGTTTCCAATTTCCAAACAAACGTATGTATGTATAATGTATATGTTTGCTAGTTTTTAATTAGTCGAAAATTAAAGTATGTAATTAATTATATAAGTAAATAACAAACAATTATGTTCTGTACCTATTGTTAGAGGCTTTATAAGGCTGTAATTGCTGTGGTTTTTGTTTTATGCTGAGAAATTTGCAGATATTTTCTCTGCAAATATAATTTACACTCACATAGAAATAGTACTTAAATTTATATGATAAATATGTTTTTATTTTACTTCTATGAGAGAAACGTAGCTGTTTAAATATTTCACTTTACCGTTGATGCATCAAAATTCATACAACACACATAACTCGTAATCATGTCGCACTAAAAATGAACCAATCGAATTAAAATTTGGACCAATTTTGATTTTTTTTTCATGGAAATTATAAGATGATCATTTTTCGACGAATTAAAAGTTAGCTTATGTCATGATTTACTTCTCGTACAAAATGGTAAGTGATTTAAAAAAATCATATATAATGTAGTTTATTTCACACGTAACTTTCGACATCCAATTAATTCCACCTGACAGTTTCAAGCATTGGTACTACAGGCAGTGGTAGCCCAGTGGTTATGCGCTCGCTAGGAAAACCAAGTGAAGCGGGTTCAAATCTCGGGTCTCGCACCTCTGATAATTTCATGTGCGAATCATTTCCAACATGATTACCACTTGTTTTACGGTGAAGGAAAACATCGTGAGGAAACCTGTACGTCTGATAGAACCTAGCAAGTTTTTGATAGACATGTGAAGTCCGCCCGTACTTGGCCAGCGTGATGGACTATGACCTGATCCCCCTCGTATTGAAGGCAGGCTCATGCCCAGCAGTGGAACGTTAAAAAGGGCTGAATACTATAATGATGTAGTTTATTTTATACGTAACTTTCGACATCCCATTAACAGCTCATATTGAATATGACAGTTACAAGCATTGGTACTACCTTGCGCTATTGGTAAATTTCTAACATTTATAAATTCTTATGCATTTTTAAAGTATCATAAAGCTCTCTTTTATTCAATTTTAATAAGAATAATATTATTTTGAAAATAACAGCTAAAATTTATAGCAATTTGTGTAATATACATTAATACTATATGTAATACATATATGTATCATATTAATATGTATATTCTTCTATTACATATATTTTAATGTAGCCTATAAATAAAAATGTCATAAGAATCTGTTTGAACACTGTCGTGTTTTATGTAATGTAAAAAATTTTTTCCTATATTTGTCAGTATTTGAGTGGCTAATTCCAAATTGGTTGTACAGGAGATATATAAATGTAGAGTGTTGTGATATTTATATCAATTATTGTTTTTAATAAACGACTCGAGCAGCCATTTTTTGCTATTCCCATTTATAATAACCGAGTTAAGTAGGAATGAAAAAAAAAATACTTTTCCATTTGTGCAAAGGTAAAACAGCTCTATATCGATATGTATCAGCTGGAAAATTAATATATTTATTATGTGTACCTTTTGGGTGTAATGGCGACGTATGCTAGACGTGTGCAGTACTAAAGTAAATGTAATATATTGTACTCACTTGAATTCCTTAATTTTGTTACATTCAGGACTCGGAAACCCGTTTAATTTTTAAACCGGTTTTGGTCCTTGACACCAAACCGAAAGGCTTCGGTTTAAGGTTTTTATTATGTTCTTTAACCGGTTAAAACCTGGAAAACGGGTTTTGACGAATTTAGGTCCCATGGTCGAAATTAACCGGTTAAAATGAGTAGGTATTTGTGCGTTCACTTTATGGCGAATCTTTGTTATTGGTGTATTGCTTAGTCGAAGTATGAATTAATTAATCGGTTTTTTTCGGTATCAAAATCTAAGTAACATTTCTCTAAGAATAACATATAACCATTATGATTTCTATTTACTAAACCGTTCGTTTTTATTAACCGGTTAATGAACAAGCGATAAATTGACCATTAAGTTATCGAAATTAACTGGTTTTTTAAACCGTTTTCGAGACCTGGTTATATTTATGGATTTTATTAGAAAACAATGTCAATTCCAAGTAGAAGTGTTAATTTTAATTAAAATAACCGAATGATCATACTTATTTTGATTCTTATAAGAATCGGGTAGTTGTTGAGTTAACAAACTGTTTTTAGGTCTTCGATATTGATAATTTATTATGAAATTCATCCTTATATTTTAATTGCTGTTATAATACAGTTTGTTTATGTTCATAATGCTTAGATTAGAAATGGTAATAATCTCGTTGCCTGGCGTGTCTGATGCTGTTTAATTAAACATTTGTGATACCTATGTTACATAACTATATATAATATTTTATTTTATGTCAAGCCATTTGCAAATATCGAATTTGTCAATTTTCAACATTGTATTTAAATTGTATACGCTACTTTGGCTATAATTTATTTTAACAAATATGTACGTGGAATTAATAAAAAGGGTAAAAATTCATTGTAAATATACATATTCGAAAATAACTATTACGTGTTGTAATTAAATAAAAATTATATGTATTTATAATATAAACTTGATAATCTTATTCTATGCAATTATTTTCAACGACGGAAAGTGTTTTAGTTCAAAATCTTCATTATGAGCATTGATTTCTAAATTCCATTGCGCATTCTTACGCAGACTGCAATATTTTTTCTTATAATTTTATTGTCTAAGATATATTTTTTGAAAGGTACCTTTGGTTAGAAATATTTCTGCATTTTACTTTGCTTTTGCTTAAACTCCTATTATTTTTTTGTGATATTTGGCGCGTAGTTGGGTGGTACCAAAGGTGCTGAAAGATGACCGGAAACGTTTTCTTTTGATGGATTGTAATATATTATGTTTTGTTGTAATATAATGTTCCTTATGATTTTATTGTTTTATTTATTTTATTGTAATATTATAAAACATACTAGCTTGTTAGCTTTTGCCCGCGGCACCGCTCACGTGGATTGTCTTTATCTGTAACTGCTCCGTTCCTCTTCCTAACAAAGGTCTATTCAAATATAAGCGATATTCGTTACCACTGTACGTAGCGTAAAATAATGTGTACGCAGATACAAGTGCACTGTAATCCTCTATCTTTATATTCTGGTACAAAGAAAATTCAACCAATAAGAGAACCGACAACTTAATATGTTATGACAGGGGTGTAAACATTGACTTCCCTATTTTGGCTGCTTTTGCGTATTTCATGGCTGAATAACTCGGTCACTAATTTGATCCGACCCGAGACTCGATCGGAGGACCTTCTGTCTTCTGATCTGCATGCCTGCAAGCAAGCCACTAACTAGAAAAAGGGTATCAAAAGAGTAAACTAAAGAGATGGAGATAAGGTGACAAAGGAACATAGTATAATGCACTTGGACACGCGTGACCAAGTGTAGGTGTATGTGCTACGTGCAAGTGCCAAGTGCCAAGTCTTGAAGAAAAATATAAAAATCTGTCTCCGATTGCTGTAAGTCAAGATGAAAGTTGTTAGTTATTTAATATATTTTTATATTCGCCTCTTGAAAACCTTCATTTTGACCTCACTCGACAGGTTTGAACTATTTTTTTTAAGACTAAAGCTTGATAAGTCGATCATTTAGAATTATTGATAATATCCATGTATCATGCGTTATCAAGACAAGTCTAACCACGTGATAATCATCAAAATCGGTTTATATACGTACAGGTCAAACAAATAACCCTTCTTTGGGCTTCCCCGCAATCTGGTAAAAAGTAATTTAATGTTGGTGATACACCTGTGATTCAAAATTACAGCGCCATCTATGATCTAAACATTAAATAAAAAGTAGATTGAATTTAAAGTTGAGGCCTAAAACTTATCTTGGCCTTTGGTTTAGACCAAGATTGTGGTTTAAACCATTCGACTGAGGCGGAATATTGTGGCGTATCCGACATGACTTAGACCAAAAACAATAATAACTAAGATCATCACGTAATAATGTAGACAAGATGTAGCTATTAAAATCTATTAACGTAAAAGTTTTATTTTCTTCTATTTCTTTCTTTTTCTGGTGTATAAGCTATACTACCTATTGTAAAGTTGCATTAAAATCCGTTCAGTAGTTTTTGCGTGAAAGTGTAACAAACGTCCATACATCTATATTTATGTACATCCAGACATCCATACATCCTCAAAAACTTTCGCATTTATAATATTAGTAGGATCGTACCTAATAGGAATGATAATTTAAATAAAATGCGGCTCTTCATCAAAACTATATTTAGTAAAATTCTAAACAACACAAAAACACATCTTAAACGTTTACCTGGAATGTAGGCACTTTAATAATGTTATACTATAAATAAATGAAGTTAATAGTTATAATTACAATTCATGGTAACTAAACGCAACTAATGAAGTTGGAAAAAATAGATGATGTTAGTGTGTATTTGTGGAGATTGGAGTCTATAAGTACTTGTACTACACTATAATACGTAATATTATGTAAGCAGTAAGACGGATTTAAATAAAAGCTATCGAGTTCACTATAATGGCAATGCCTCCACTTAGTTTATTAAAGTACAAATTCAGATTGGTTCCAATTGTATATTCGCTCAAAACTTGAGCGGCGTTAGAACCATGTTTTAGAAAATACAAAGTTAGATATGATTTGTGTTCATTATTGCAGTGAAGTAATTTTCTAAAAATATTTAACAAACATGTAATGTGTGTATAATAAATCGGACCATGTGCCTAATAATAATTTGCATTGATATTTCATATTAATATAATATTGATCAAGATAAGTTATAATAACCCTGAATTTTATTGAATTTATGTCTAAGCATATTATAATATTTTTTTAAAAAACAATTGATTTTAGGTATTATGGAATCTAAAATTTCTTAAGACATAGAAAAATATTTGGTTATAGATAAAATGTGGATGGACTATAATAGTAATATCATAATCATATGATTCCATTATCAATATTCTAAAGACATCAAATCTAACGTGACACGATTACTAAATTGAAAATTTCGCTAAACTAGTTTATCACACTTTGAATTTATTTTCTTAAATTTTATTGGACATAATTTTTTGTTAATTTTTATCAAATTTAATAACAATGTAAATATTTTAAAGTTGTAAGTATGAATTAAAAACCTGTATTCACTGGATAAAATAATTAAAAAAATTCATATTTGTAAAATATTGCCATAATTTATCTCCGGGCTGTACTTACGCAGTGCATCGTTTTAAGTGCGAGGATTTTTATAATCTCTATCTCATATATCACATGATCATTGATCGGTTAGTAGTTTTAGTTCTTGGTTGGTTTTTGCTAAAGATGTGTTAGGATATTAATGAAGTGATTAAAAATGCGATAATTGACTATCGCCAGAGCCAGGGTCGGATTTAAAGGTGAGAACGAAAACCAGGGTGGTAAAAGAGTGGAGACTCCCGATCATTCGTGAAATTAGACAAATAATCAGGTCTGTCTTTCGTTTTCTGGTGGATTCAACCAAAGAATGGCCAATTAGATAGTATTAAGTTTGTCTAATTATTTTCTAAAAAGGGAAACAAAGACGTTTCATAAGATAAGCAGCCTTCGGATGTAATTTTATACATCTTATGGAGCCCCGTTTTATGAGGGCTCTGAGGCCTGGGCGATTGACGTGGTTACCTTAAATCCAGCCCTGCGTTTATCATATAGGAGAACGATATCTGTTGAAAAATGTGTCTCAGAAAGTTTAGAAATAAATATGGCATGGTAATGTCTGCATTGTTTCAATTTTAAAATTTACGTTTCCTTACATACTTATATTATTATATTACACATTTTTAAACAGCTGACTTCACAGATAGTGCATTTTAAATAAATAATTGTTGCCAGTAAATAAATAATATTAAAAAATTATGAAAGTACTGACTTATGGGACATAAAGGTTAATTTATTAGCATTTGAGTCTCGTTCTCCTATACTGTAAATTCTATGGCACTGAAACAATATTTAGCATAAGCTTTAAATGTAAAATCGTATTTAAAATAATATTGTTTAGTCCCCATTAGTTTTTTTAAATATCGCATTCTATAAAATAATATTAGGACCTTCCCGGAAATCTTCTAAAATTGACATAACTTACTAATATTTCATATTTCACATTGTTATAACTTGTGTTTATTATTTTTCACAATTTAATTAAAGTTCTAAATTAATATACTACATATTAAAAAAATAAGTTTTATGAATAGGGAACTTTTAAAGTTTGACATTAACCATTTTTTATTAATTAGATACTTAAATACAAATAAGTATTATTATAAAATTAATTATAGAAATACTATTGTAGACATTTGACTTGGCGTCGTAACCACATTTTATAATCTATACAAATTCTCTTGGGACGATGTTAAAATTAACGTACTTTGTCTTTTTTATGTTTTCTAATACTATAAGTAATTTGTACTCAACATGCCACAAGAATCGAACCCAAATATGTATTCTTTTATCAGAAATATAAAATATTAACATATTTTGTGAAATCTATACAAGTATCCTACGTTTAATGCAAATATATAAGCATGTATCTATACCATAACTCACTATAGTATTTTTTACTCATGAGGTCATCATAAAATCATCATTAAAAAAATGAACAAACGTAACAAACTTTATAAATTATAATATAGCAATAATAAAGATTTAACTTAAGTCTAGGCATAGTAAAAAGTGCAACCATTAGAGACATTTCAAATTAATCACAACTCACAAGTACTATTTTTGTAGTATGTAACAAAAACCAACGATTAAGTATTATATTAATGATATTAGTATAGTGTCTCAGACTAAGGAATAATATAGACGGAGTGTCATAGACCTTGCATAAAGTGAAGCACAAAATACATTTACCAGGTATCGATATAATCTCCCGAAATAATAATATTTTAATAGATTTTATTTTAAATCGGTTAGCTATTTTTATTTATTAAAATATTATAATTAATATTAATTTTATAGTACTAAAGAAAAAAATGTTCTCTTTTTTTTAAGAGGAGTAGCTAAGGATTAAAAATACAAAAGAATGTAGTATGTATTTATTATTATTAGCTTATTATTTTTATTATTCAAATTTCCTTATCCTCTCAACTGTGTAATTAACTACAAAGATTGTAAATTGTCGAAAATAAAAAGTTACCTTTATTCTCTGGAGAAAGTTAACAATCGCTATGGCAACATCAAAACTAACTAACAAAATTGCGTAACTAGCAAAATTACGCTACTATTTGACATCTGTAAAATTCTTTAGTCTGAATATAATATATATATTTTTCTATTGTTTCCATAACTGTAAATTGCAATTATATTTACTCTAGTCTTTACAAGACTAGAATCCAGAAAACGATACCTAATAAAAATATATACATACATATATTTGATTTTTACACTATATTTTTATATATACAAGGAAATATTTTTTAAAGAAAAATATTATTAAAAAAAAAACAAGAGTAAAAAGAAAAAAATGTAAATTTTTACATTAACACGTATCCCTGCGACGTTGAAAAAAAAAGTAAAACGTTAAACATTCTTTGCTTAACACTTTTAATCAATATTCTATGAATATATTAAATCTGTATCAACAACCATATTTACAATTTCATTATCCAATAAAACCATGCAAATCATTATCTTTTAGCCCTAATTTCTTTAGAAAGTCCAGTCCCACTTGCGTAAATTCCGTTGGACCACACAGACAAACGAATCGTGATCCTTCTGCGAAAACTTCTTTTTCTATACTTTGGGACAAAATCTCTCTTGATATCCTCCCTTTCTGTCCTGTCCACGAAGCACTAGCGTTTGATAACACGTGTACTATTTTCAATCTGTAAAAAGATAAATTTACATTATATTAAACGAGCAATTCTTGTTTAAAATATAATTATTTTATGTATCTAGGAAATGGCTGTAACGGTTTAGATTAAATTTGTATTAAGGTTTTGCTTTTGAAGTTTATCTATATAGGTGTCTTTTCTAAAAAAAATAACGTATATTTTTATATCTCTCCCGACAAATGCCGAGCGAAGCTCGGTCGCCCAGGTACTAGTTAGTAAATTGTAAATACCTACTAATTCAAAAGCGTAGCGATAAAGAATGTAAGTATAGGTTTAAATAAAATTGATTATGTTTAGGCTTCTTAGGATAATGCACAATATAATTTGGAAAATATAGCCGAATTGAGAACCTCCTTCTCCTCCTTTTGAAGAAGTCGGTTGAAAATAAATTATATCAATATAAATTCTTTCAGTATAAATTCTTTCAATATAAAATACAAATAATTTTACACATGGCTGCATAAAATAGCTGAAGCGTGTCTAATTCACAAAAAGGGCTATGTATCTGAAACAAGTTCAAAAAAACTAATTTGAATTTAGCTGTAAACTTTTCTTCGTCCGTTTTTAAATTATCACAAAGGTCAAAACATTGTATGGTCTTGATCTCAGCATGTGCATTTATAACCATTCTTTACCCCATAACATGTTCAATGTACATACATACCATATTGAGATTTTGAACATAAAGAAATTCAGAAAGATATCTATTTCCAAAGCTTTTATATACCAATCAGATTATGCTTAACTTTATTATGTTTCTAAGGAAAATGAAATGAGGAGAAAGGTATCGCGCTGCATACTTCACTAACTTAATACTTATAAGATAAAATATTAAACGAATCTGTATACCTTTCGTCTTGTTTTGCTATTTCATCCAAGTTCTCCTTGAATAGGATATCCTGTTCTGTTTTATTAAAGAACAGTAAATGCACTCCTTCACTGTAATACAAAACAGTTGATTTATATTAAATGTTATCTATTTTTTTTTGGTATATTTAAGCTATATAGTTAAAAAATGCCATAAAAGTTGTCATTTTCTTGGTCATCATTCATGGTGTTATAGCGATTGTACCACGCCTCTACAATCTCGAGTATAGTTATCACTAAGATCGTAATCTATACTAATATTATAAAGAGGTAAAGTTTGTGAGTTTGTGACGTTGTAGGGGGTAATCTCTGGACCTACTGAACCGATTTAGATAAAATTTGGTAAGAAGATAGTTTGAGACCCTGAGTAGGACATAGAATACTTTTTATCCCGGAAATTATCCCTTAAAGAGGTGAAAATGGGGATGAAATTTTGTATTGGGAATCAAGCTAGGGACGAACCCGAGCGAAGCGAGGGTGAGTCGCTATGGTAGGTAAACTACGTATGCTACAAAATGAATAAATATTTTTAAATTAAATACAAAGTATTTGCGTTGAAAAAATTATAAACAAATTCAATACCTAGCTTGGAACTTAAGCTAGATTTCTATTTAATTTCACGTAACTTACAAAACGGGGTAACAACTTATATTCAAACGAATGGTTTCACTTCTACAAAAGAGCTTTTCACATCAGTTCCATAGCGTCCGTTAAGTAAATATTATATGACATGCAAATAACGAACTTTCTTCGAAAAAATCTATAACATAAATTAACATTAGATATTTCTTACCATTTGGGATTCGATCGTGTTAGCATAAATCTTAGCAATCCTAGCATCGGCGTAATTCCCGTACCCGCCGCTATTAAATATATAGTTTTGACAGATTTTAGCTGAAATAAAACTTGTTTTGTAAAGTAAGAAATCGTAAAAATTGGTTATATAAACATTCATTTAATAATTGCAGTTAGAAATGCTCTATCATTTATTAAAGTAATAAGAAATTTATTCTGTTAATGTTGAATAAATCTTCGCTAATTATTTTAAAGTACTTTAAGTATCTTAACTTTTAAGTAGTTTTAAAGGGTTTTTTAATTATATACTTCACTTCTACCTACAAAATACTACCTCAATTCGTTACAAAATACTGCGACGAAAAATGAACACTAATAAAATAATTTAACAACGTTAATTCTATGTTCTTAAAATTAATTTTATTTATATGTATTCCATTTAATAGAAAGCTGATATAAAACTATCTTTCCGGAATTTTACGCGGATTTAAATTTTTGAATACTTTAGAGTTATTTTTGAATGGGTATGTTTCGAATGGTCTACAGCAACTATGGTCTCTCCGCGGAAAAATCCGAAAAGATAGTTTTATTTAAAATGTCAAATATTCGCGTAAATCTAAGAGATTATTATAAAAGCTTAGATACAAATTGCTATACTCATCTAAAGCTTTTACTTAAGTAGGTACCTACATAAGTTAGATAGACGAGCTTTTATGTTAATACCATCGCAGTTTGACGTTGAGTAATTTAATATTTAACTGTTCAAGTTTCGCCAACCTAGATGACTTATTTAAGCTAGGATATTTCATTTTCTCAGCGATTTTCCTCTTCAACTCGCTTTTAATTTATTATTACTAAGTAACATTAAGTATTAAATAAAGGAAAAAATAGTTTAGTTTCCTAAGTTCAAAAGAGCATTTAGGATTACTTTAGTTTGCAATCGCTTTCAATCACGTAAATATAAGAAAGTATTAATCGATACAGATAAATAAAATTGAAGTGTCTATATGTAATGTCTAAATAACAGCTTTTACTAAATGCATATGAAATTATATACGGTACTTACAAGAAAAACACAATTTTGAAATTTTTTGTCTGTTTGTTTCGGCTAATCTCCGAAACGGCTAGATTAATTTTGACAGGACTTTTACTGGCAGATAGCTGATGTTATAAGGAGTAAATTAGGCTACTTTCATTTTAGAAAAAGAATTAAAAAATTAAAACGTACCTAGAGACGCACCCGAGCGAAGCGAATGTAAGTCGCTACTCGCTAGTATATGTACTCGTAAATATATCTTATTCCTACCTACATAGTAACAAAAATATTAAACTTGAAATAACAAAGTTGTAATATTTTTGTGCAAGATCATCACTTACCTTTTGTAACTGAAAGCTGCCGTATGGTCCTGAAAGTGTAATCAAATCCCCTATTTTCACGGCAGTTAAATGTGGAGATAGAATGCCTTTATCATATCTTTTGATTGTTAACTTCAAGGTGCTTAAATCGCTTCCGTAACGATCCCAATTGTCTCCCACAGGCGTGTACGATCGAATGCATTCTTTATCTATAAAAATATTTTAGGTATTATTTAAATATATGTACTTGTAAATAAAATGTTACGTAATTGTAACCAGCTATCACCATACCAAATTTCATCAAAATCTATCCAGTAGTTTTCTGGTGATGCAGTAACAGACAGACAGACAGACTTTGGTTCGTCCCCAGGTACGTATTAACGATTAGTATAGATACACTTACATTGCAGTTGTTCTATTTTTTTTCAAAAATGAGATATTTTCCCGCGGTAAAAAGTATCCTATATGTTGACCCGGATAACCAGCTATAGCTATACTAAATTTCATCAAAATTCCCACCAGTGGTTTTTCTGTGATGCGGTAACAGACATACAGACAGACAAACAGACAGACAAAAATTCTAAAAACTATAGATTCGGTCTCTGTATCGATAATAATGTTTATTTCAATAAGATTTTCTAAAAAATATTTAATGTACAGATTCGGCTTAGTTACAATTTTATTATATGTATAGATCTACAGTCTATCTATAAACTCCGTCTACCTTATCGGCTAGGTAACGGTAAAGTAAAATTAGAAAAAATAAAAATAGGTATAGCACTCCATTGCTGTTAGATATAAATATATTGTATAGTTATTAAGTTGTGGGATGTTTTCGAATACTCGCTTTGTCATTTAACTGAGTTTACCGCCCCAAAAATAAACTATTTTTCTCATTGTATATTCATATTTGTATTTCATCTAACATATAATAAAATTGTAACAAAAGCAAATCTGTAGTACATTAATGATTAAATAGGTATTTTTTAAAATTTTGACTGTTATGTATTGTATAGGTACGGATTATAGAGCCAAAATCAATCGTTGTTGAACGTGTGGTCTGTATATATATATATATATATATATATATATATATATATATGTGTGTACATTTCATGAAATGATTTGCACATGAAAATATCAGAATTACAAGACCTGGGATTTGAACCCGCTTCACTCGATTTCCCAAGCGATTTCGACGACCGTTGCACTCGGTTTCAGAAGCGAGCGCTTTACCACTGGGCTACTACTGTTTTTGACTTGACCTTTGATTATCTAATGCAAAAAGGAATTATTCAAAATGAAATGGTAGTTTGAGATTAGGTCCATTAAACATAATATAGATACTAATACTCTTCAGCTTTATGGTATTAATTTAGAAAGAACCTTTCTAAGGCAGTCTATATCAAAGTAATACTCGCACTTACCCTCTTTCCAGACGTCTACTTACAAACTGCTAGCTAACATTCGTTATCTATGAAAATAATAATAACCAAACTTGTAAGCTCCGTCATATCCACTTAGTAGTTTAGTCGTGTTCCAAGCTCGAAAGTTCTAGTTGATGTTAGACTTGGATTACGTTGTTCTATATTGTGACGATAAGAAAACAAGCATCGTAAGTTTATTTTATAAATAAACTGTTTGTTTGTGATTTGGATATACGATATATATTAAAATTAATGCTATTAGGGTTCCGTAGCCAAATGTTAAAACGAAACCATTATAAGTACGTTCTGTCTGTTTGTTATTTTAACCTTTTGTCACAGCCATTTTACTTGGATTTATTATTATTCTATGACATGATACATTATTATTATTCTATTGTTTACAAATATTTACTCAGTATAATTGTATACTAAATTCTAGACAATAGCCCATCTAAATACGAAACCCTAATAAACTAGCTTATTTATATGTATATATTTTTAAGCGTGAATATGAGTCCCACTGCTGTTGGCCTGAATCTGTTTATTGGCTATAACTTTGTGTAGCATATTAGGGCTAGCGGCCTGACCGGATTCGGATGTGTTTATAATTTAACGCCAGAAAATTATTGTTTTCCACACCACACACCACACATATTTTCCCAACTTTTTTCATCGCCTTATATTAGATGTTGAATGAAAAAAAAACATTTCTTCTTGGTTGCTTATGTTATTAAATAGGAATAGAAGTGATTATTATTACCTTTATGTCTAGTATACATTTAGTTTTTGTTTTGAACTATATTGCCCGCTGACATCTTCTTCCACAACCAGGGGTTGACTGGAAGAGATCTCTTTTAGAGATAAGTTGTGAACTGTGTTTACTTTGTAATTTTTTTTTCTGTATCATATTTTAAGTGCAATAAAGAATATAATAGACTATGAAAATTGCCGAATCGCTAATCAGTCTGGTGTTAGATAAATCATTCAGGTCAATTAACTACGTATACTATTATATACATACATTTAAAAGTTTCGTACATTTCAAGCACCTTTCATTGTGGTTAATAATTAAAAAAAAATACAAAAAGCTATGGGTTGTTCATAATGTGTATGTTATGTAAAAAATATTCGGGAACAAGTTCAATACCAGTATATAAGCTAATTCATAGACTTCATTCGAAAACATCTATGCGGCCTCGATCGAAGGATTACATAATAACTTAGAAACATACGGGACGTTCTGCTCGACTGTCTGATGTTGAAGCCAGTTGTGAACGCAAAGTTTGTATTGATCCGTTGCAGGAACTGAATGATTTAGTGTATTTAACAGTAAATATAATTCACAATCATACATACTCCCTTTCTGAACTACATGTTTTTTGTGTTTGACTTAAGTGTCTGTTTGTTTGTCTTTCACACCTTAATTTACTTCTTCTCTATCTTTCTTTCTCTATACTTTAATCTAAACTACTTAATTATAATAACAAATTATAAATTTGATAAGCCTTCATTAAGGCTTGATAACGCGTCATGAGAAAACCACTGCACAGATTTTGATGGAATTTGGTATGATGGATCTGGTTATCCGGGTCAACATATATAAAATCTCATCTCTGAGAAATCTATACCAACGTTAAAACGTAACTAGAGACGAACCCCATCGGAGCAAGAGTAGCTAGTTTACACATAAAATGATATTTTATTGGTATTAATCATATTATGTTAATTCTAAGAACGAGCGAGTTAGACTCGCTTGACTATTTTCTTTTACAATAAGGCAATATTTATATTCTATTTACGTAACATTTTTCTGAGGGCATATCAAATGTCAAATAGATTAAATTGGAATATTTATTATGATTAAGTGCGCTTCAATATTCGGAAGAGGTTTCTTTCAGAGATAAGTTCACCTTTGTTAAGTTAATTTGTTGTAAATTTTTGTCTGTATTACTTTTTAAGTGCAACAAACAAAGAAGAAAAAGGGAAGAAATAACGCTACCTCTACGAGTATAAAATAAGAATTGTACTAAGTTTAAGTGGTAGCTCAATCGCTTGGAAAACTAATGAATGAAGTGGGTTCAAACCCCGGGTCTGGCATCTCTGATATTTTCATGTGCGAATTATTTCCAATATGATTACCGCTTGTCTTACGTGAGGGAAAACATCGTGAGGAAACATGCATACCTGATAGACCCTAGAAAGTGTTCGAAAGACATGTGAAGATCGCCAACCCACACTTGGCCAGCGTGGTGAACTATGAGCTGATCCCCCTCGTTTCGAAGGGGGGCCCGTGCCTAGTAGTTGGATGTTAAAAAGGCCTGAATACATTCTAAGTTTAAAGCTTAATTTTTACCTTTAATTTTATGATGAACGCGGACGTGGTGTCCCAAAGGAACAATAACGGGTCCATTTTTAGGAGCTAAAGCTAGTAGCGTAGTATCATGCGAGACTCGTTCTATATGCATCACTCGGCATTCTAACGTTCGTGGCAACGAGATAGGAGTCGCTGGACTGAACGTGGTCTCACCGATGTTCTTCCAAACTTTTCCTGTGGCTTTGAACATAGTCACCTGATAATGAAATTCAATTTATTTACTTCAACGTACTAAATTGACAAAAAGATGGAATAATTATAATAATTAATTCTTTTTCATATTTTTCAATCTTGGGTAATTATTTTTGAAATACATAGGTATATTAAACCTTTGGCGTTTTTGTAGACATTTAACATTGTTTTATTTTTTTATTTTAGTACATAACTCTTCCTAAAAACCATATTATTTAGTTAAGATGATTAGCACATTTTAAAATCTCCAGACTCATGTAGTCTCGGTACTCACCTCTATTTTACCACTCTCAGGGAATACTCGTATTTGTAAAGGTTCCTTGATTGCTTCTTCAGGAACTAGCTTTACTATTCTAAGCCACCCATTTGTAGCTACTTCTATGAACAATGTACAGTCAGTAATCCTGGCACAAGCGCCCGGATTTGACAAAAGTCCTGTATATACAGAGATAGTTAGCTTTGTGGAGGTTTGAATCCAATCAAAGCGCAGTGGCGGAGGCGAGTCTTTTGATTTATCTGCAGACTTTAGAGGACTAGATCCCGCTCTACGGCTTATAGATACGGGTAAGTCACTCGAGTGAATTAAACTCTGCATTATTTTACTTGGTGGACTTCCTTTTATGTTTTCCTCGCTTTTAGTCGTTATTTTTTTTCGAACGGGTGTAATGCAATTTGCTAAATTCTCCATTGATTTTCGAACAAGCTCTTGGGCTTTAGACGGTTCTCTGAGTCTGTCGGATTTTGGTGATGAATTTGTTATGTCGAAAAGTTCTTCCGAATCCGGTCGGTCGAAGCGAAGGGGGCCCACTAAACATTTGGCTAGAAGTGAATCATAATTGACCCAAGGGTGCACTTTATCAAATAACTCGGTGGCATCAATGCCTGCGCCACGCATTAACTCTTCCGCTCCTGTAAAAATATAAAACAATTAAAATGTAATTCATATGTTCTTATAAATAATAACTTTATGACGGTAATCACAATTACCTCCTGGATGATAAGGCAAATAATGCGTGATATTATAAACTCGACCTCGTATAGCCAACCATGCATCTTCTGAAAAAAAAATTTATTTTGTTTTTGTTTTGATAAATAAGATGAAAAATAACTACTGTGAAGAATAAAAGGCTGATAAATATCAATTTACAATTAAAGCATATTGCTTATAATTCATTTTGCTGGGGAAAATAATAGTAAAAAATATATTTTTTTTACAAATATACGTACTTACATATGCGTGCGTTAAATAAAAATGTAGAATGGATTATTATATAATTGAATTATATTAAACATATTTACTCTGTGTACTATGTGTGGCCAGTTCCTGTGGGGTCACGGGACGGATGCGACCTCCGACGCCTGTGAGATCCTTTCCGGAGTTGCCGAGACGAATCCAGTCCATAAGACTGTGACCAGGTTGCAGTGCACATTTGTTACGTGGGTTGCCTGTTAAGAATATATAATGTGATTAAAAAAGTAAACAAGAATAGAATGAAAGAGGGATATTAGGGAAGTAAAAAAAAAAATTCAAAACCACTTTGAAAAAATAGCCTTATCAATGATGTTTTGTGAAGTGCGACCACAAACACCGTGACGCGAGATATTTATATATATTACATACTAAGAGTAGACACACTCGGTCCTTGTGCAGTAAATTTAAAACTCTATCATTTTGGGAAACGAGTAAAATATTGTGATTGGAACTTTCAGAAATGTTAACTGAACAACAACTAAATGTTACTACAATGAACTGTTACTATAACTTTACTATGTAAAAAGTTTCTAAATAATACTTTGAATAGCACTGGACAGAAATCGATACAGCTGTTCTGCCTTTAGACTTTGAACTATTATACAAAAGCATGTTTAATTTATAAATATATTTTTAAACCATAAAAACATTTTTTTAAAACATAACAAGTGACTATTTGCGATAATTTTAACCCCCATATGTATTATGCAAAAGTGAACCATTTTTGAGTTATCATGTTTTTTAGCTTTTTTCAAAATAAGTCAAAAGTGCAACATCAAAAATTAAAAAAAGAAACTCAAAAATGGTAAAAAATAACCCTGTTTGTATGTACCTAAACAAACACATACCTACACAAAGTAAAAGCCCAAATATGTAATAATTATTTTCGACTAAATAAAAGTATCCTCTGAAGCGAAACCACAGGCCACAGTAAGTAGCAAAGAAATAAGACAAATACATGACAAAATTCAAATTCAAAATCCAATATTCTGTTATTACTTTTCATTTCATTTTCCTTGTAGATTAGTATCAATAGGCAGATCGTAATTGAAGATGGACAATTTAGATGAAGGTCTAAAGCGTTCCATCTCTAATTATTATTTTTTTACATTGGGGAACATTATGAAGACGACCTCATTTAGATTTTTTTATTTTACAAATGATCTTCATTATGTTTAATTAAATTATCGACAATTTGAAATCCCTTTTGCGTAGACTTTATTTTATTTTAAATGATGTATAATAAACCAATAAATAATACTAATTCTGAGTATATGCGTATTGAATATTAAATTAATTTATTTGAATTAGTTCCAGAGTAATAAATAATTTTATTTCCGAAATTATTTATGATTGAATTGAAAAAAGTAAAGACATATTTTTTGAAAAAGTATTATTTATTATCTTTGTTATCTTAATTAAAAGCTTTACACAGACATGCTCTTGGTATTTATTTAAAAAATAACTTTCCTATTACATGAATTTTCAAATTTGCTTAATACAGATATTAGGAAAGTTTCCCTCTTAATTTCATAAAATTTTATCCGTAACTCCGTAACTTTCCTTACTTTTGATAATTTTATTATTGTTTTTATTGATCTTTTTATCGTACACAACTTATTTTTTTGAGCTTTTTTATTTAAAATTAATCTTTATTTATTACTAGCGACTTACGCTCGCTCGGGTGCGTCCCTGGGTATGTTTTTAATAGATAGGTATAAATAGTTATTGCGAGTGTACCTTAGGAAATAGACATATGCTTTTGCAGACTTCTCTGTAAGCCTTTTTAAGACCTACAATTTTCTAGCACATTGTTGTGATGTATTTATTAAGGTTTAGCCAGCGTTAGCCATGTAAATTTCTAAGGAGGACTCGATGGAACCAGTTATTGTATTGGCTTTCTGTGGAAATGAATGGTTTTCCTGTAGTAAAAGGTAGGTATCCTAAATTTTGACTTGAGTAATAAGTTATCACTTCACAAAATTTAGTTTAAACCTGCCCAGTACTTTTTGCGTGAAGCTCACACAGACATACATACGAACAGATCTTGCACCTCTGATATTTTATTTTGATGTGCGAATCATTTCCAACATGATTACGACTTGTTCTACGGTAAAGGAAAATATCGTGAGGAAATCTGAATGTCTAAGTGAATAATACTTTCTTAGATTTATGCGAATGTTTGACATTATTAAATAAAACTATCTTTTCGGATTATTTCGCGGATTTATTTTGATTTTTGGTTCCCAGACCTCAGTCTCTCCCGTGACCATGGATGCTGTAAAGCATTCGAAACGCCGGGAACCAAAAATCAAAATAAACCCGCGAAATAATCCGAAAAGATAGTTTTATTTAATAATGTCTAAGTGAACCTAGAAGATTTTCGAAAGATATATGAAGTCCGCCAACCCGCAGTTGGCCAGCGTGGTGGACTATTTTATTTTTATTTTATTTTTTTTATTTTATTTATTATTAGGGAGACATACAGTATTACAACACAAACAACATATAACAATAAAAATAGTACATGCACCAATAAAGTTTCCACAAACAAACAATTCATACAGTAAAAGAGTAGAGATTTGACAAAACAACAACACAAGAATTATGTTAGCAGATGGCCTATGACCTGATCCCCCTCGTATTGAAGGGAGGCCCGTGCCCATATTATAGTGCATAAGTTTACGCGCTGACACAAGTGCACTCTCTATTCCTTTCACTCTCAAAAACCATGGGACGATAATTCGACACGACCCATGAGAGTTAAGGCGCAGGACCGAAGGCTTAACTTAGGTAAGGATTTTATATGAGTTTAATTAAAACTATTTCTCTCGCATATTAATCTTCTTAGATATTAGAACGAACCCACTTGTGTGTAAAATTATATATTTATTTTAATTTATTATTCACAACATGTTTACTAGTCGTAACATACCAACAAGTATACTTGTTTAATGTGTATGTCATAAATAAATATATGCACCAAAAGTGTGTGCGCAGTACTGTGGTCGACTACGACTTTTCTAAATTCAGCAATTTAAGGAAGGTAACGACTCAGAAGCTAAAGAGTTCTCATTAGTGACAAGAAAATAAAAGTGACTGTAATCGTAGCAAGTATAGGAGAATAAATATAAAATTGCAGCTGTTTTCTTAAATAGAAGTTTAATTAAGGTATAAAAAAAATGTAAATTCAGGTAGCATTACAAATAATTCCGTTACATGTTCAATATAAAAAGAAAAAATATAATAATAGTATTTTTGTCGAAGTGGGAAATCATTTTTTTTTCATTTCTTATTTATATAGTTATTTTAGGTAGTGGTAGCCTAGTGGAAACGCGTTCGCTTGGGAAACCGAACGAAGCGAGTTCAAATCCCGGGTCTCGCACCTCTAATATTTTCATATGCGAATCTTTTCCAACATGTTTACCACTTGTTTTAACGGTGAAGGAAAACATCTTAAGGAAACCTGTATGTCTGAGAGAATCTAGCGAGTTTTCAAAAGACATGTGAAGTAAGGTAACCCGCGCTTCGCCAGCGTGGCGAATTATGGCCTGATTCCCCTCGTACCCAGCAGTACCCAGGAGGCGCGTGCCCAGCAGTCCCGGAGTCAGCAGAGACTCGAGATTTGAGCCCGCTTCACTCGGTTTCCCAAGCGAGCGCTTTACCACTGGGCTATCACTGCCTTCCACTGCACTTCCGATATACCGAAATCTAAACCCGACTCCGGTTCCGATAAAATCATCTCCGTAACATCCGTCGTCGTATGCAAGTCGCCTCAAATTAGCATTTATGTATGTCTTATTCAGTTCGTCTCATATAGCCCGAGTCAATTGCTGTATATGTGTTATGTCAATAAAAAAATCGAAATCACATTGATTTCATTTGAATTCTGTGTACACAATATCTACACTAGTTTTAACTTTTAAGGAACTAGATAATGTGCAGACTATCAGAAAGAAGCCTCTTAAAATTGATCGAACCACATCCAAACATTACTTAAACTCAGCTTCAGGGATCAAAAAGGCTTTATTTTTGTTTCTTTACATAATGATTTATAATTCTTTACCTGCTGTACCTACTCTAAATTTGCGTCACGTTGCGAACGGTCTATTTAAGCTTCGCAATTTCCATTCGTTCGTATTATAAACGAGGTCTAATCCGTAGTTTAAATAGTGTTTCTTAAACTTTCCAATCCACCAAATATATATAAATATAATTCTTATTCACGAAATAATTACTTTTATTTGTAATAAAATAACATCTTTTATATGATGAATATATTTTGGAAAATCGTATTAAAACAGCCTTTATTATCGATACAGAGGCCGAACCTATAATTTTTAGATTTTTTATCTGTCTGGGAACGCATGACGAGATAACCACTGGACAGATTTTGATGAAATTTGGTATGATGTTAGCTGGTTATCCGAGTCAATATATAGGATACCTTTTGCTGCGAGAAAATATCTCATCTCACTTACCATTAAAACATTCCTAGGGATGAACCCGAGCGGAGGGAAGGTAGGTAAGTCGCTAATTAATGATAAAATAATTAATACAACAAATATAATATTTTATGCAGCAAATAAATTAAACGTTGCTGGAAAAGTTCTTATTCTTATTGATTTTCTAATGCATTATGTAACTACATGTTTTACGTATTACAGAGTTTTAAATAAATTCCAATATATATTTAGGTACGCAATAAAATGATTTACTCAATTTTTTAAAATAAAAGATTGATGTAAAATAAAGATTAAACATGACGATGAAACATGTATATTGTATACAGATAAACGTTGATTGATAAATAGATACGCATAAAAATAAATAACGATTCACGCCCAACGGCACTTACTCGTACTTATGACGCTGTCAGTAAAATACATGGAGCCAATATAGGCATATTGTACCTATACAATACACAAATTGCCAAAAATAATTACACGGTCAGTATTGATATTTTTCCTTTGGGCAACAAAACGGAGACTTATATCTTAAGGTGTAGGCAATCTTACCCAAGGTTTTACAGTAAATCCTAACATTTACCTTGTCTTAATGGAAACCTGAAAAGCTTATCTTATAATCGCTAATGCCGGGCACAGTTTGAATTCATTCCGTAGTTTTATTTCATCTTAATTTTACTAATAGTAATTAAATATTTGCTTTTAGAGTTAATAGAATCCATGTTTAC